GGCCAGGACCCAGCCAGGACACCGGCAGCCGGGGCCGCCTCTCAGTGCCTGCAGACCGAATCCGCGGATCAGACTCATCCGCTGGACTTAACCGGAAATGGGGTCAACACTTACAAGCCCCCAATGGTCAGTGTCTTTCACTACTCTATTGAAAACAAAAGTAATGCATTGTAAATGTTACTTTAGTAAAACAAATATATTCTTTGAGCATCAGAAGCCAAAGTAGTCAATGCAGAAAAACTCCCTATGTAATACTATCATAGGCTGATGTAGGCCTATATTATAATCATCATCATCAGAAAGGTGTTTACATCATACTTTTGGGTTATTTTATAACGATTGAGGATACTGCTGGGTAGTTTGTGAGTTTCCCCTAAGGGTTTAATTAAGTTTATCTTAGCCTCTTCAAATACGTCATCATTTGTTTGTTGTTTATATTTAGTTTTCATCAATTTGCAAAGTAATCAGTCACTATAGTTATCGAACAAACGTTGTGGTGAAGTAGCAGAGTGCCTTTGTTAGCCCAACATGCCTAAATATGTATACACGTCTGCACATACTGTTAGAGCATCTAAGTGTGTATACGATTGTATAGATGTGTGTGCAAGTACGTATTTTATGTATGTATATTATGTATAATATTTTCTAAAACATAGTAAGTTTATTTTTACCCAGGATGACCCTGTCTGCTTTCATATTGTTTGTCTGTTCATTATTGTAACAAAAACGAAAAACAATAAAAACAAAGTTTAATTTTTTTTTTAAAGTAGCAGTCACATGAAAATAATAATAAACTACAAGTACTTTGAATCTGTATTTACCGTAAATGCACTTCTTACTTTCCACAACTGTTTCCAGGTCAGTACTTTGAACCCTTTTCCATCTAGGGATTACTTGGTCCCGCTGCGGGTCTCAAAGATAAGGCAGGGTGCAGCTGGAGACCCTCTGAACCAAGATCCAGTCCACCTCACCCCAACCTCACCCACAGGAGCTGATGGTCAGGTCATCAGTTTTACTATCGTGCCAACGGAGGAAGGTACAATACCCCATAGTGCCTGTGTGTGATGGTGTGAAAGTATGTAGAGAGATAGGAAAGCATACAGTAATTGTAACGGTGGAAGCAAAATGATGAGACACTAAGTCAAAAAATGTTTTTAAATATAATTTATGAGCTAATCAAATCAAAATTGATATAGTCTAAGTCATATTTTGACATTAAAGTCATCCTAAATTAAGACAATAACAATAAGTCAAAATCAATGATAAACAAAGTAAAAAGATCTGACTAGAATAAACAAAAATATGATGCTAAATCCGGTAGCAAATTGAAATTCACTTGAGTCCAAAATAAAGACACTGTATTATGCAATGGGCGGCAGTAATTACCCAAATGGACCAAGTACTGTACAGTGTGTGGACTTTTTAGAGATGCCAGTTTGCTTTTGAGCCCCACATTATTAAAGCAGTGGCCTCACAATTGTGTGAATTTTTAAATACAAATTGTTTATTTGAGAAATTCCAGTCAGGTTTTAGAAAACATCATAGCACAGAGACAGCACTGGTTAAAGTCACAAATGACCTGCTTTGTGCATCTGATAATGGACTTGCCTCTATTCTGGTTCTGTTAGATCTGAGTGCTGCCTTTGACACTATTGACCATAACATACTACTCGAAAGATTAGAGCTTTTGATAGGTATAAGGGGAACTGCACTAAGCTGGTTCAAAACGATCTCAGTTTGTATCTGTCAACGATGAATCCTCATTACAAACTACAGTCAGTCATGGAGTACCGCAAGGGTCTGTACTTGGACCCATCCTGTTCATCATATATATGCTACCATTGGGCAATATCATAAGGAATAACTCCATCAATTTTCATTGTTATGCAGATGATACGCAATTGTATCTATCAATTAAACCAGATGTACAATTTCCATTAGTTAAACTGCAAGAATGCCTCACAGACATAAATACATGGATGACCTGCAACTTTTTATTATTAAACTCTGACAAAACAGAAGTCATTATACTTGGCCCCCAGCACCTTCGGAACAAATTATCCAACAACATAATTTCTTCGGATGGTATTACCTTGACCTCCTGCACAACTGTAAAAAATCTTGGTGTCATCTTTGACAAGGATTTGTCTTTTAAATCCCATATAAAGCAAATTTCAAGGACTGCCATACTTCCATCTACGGAATATTGCAAAAATCAGGCACATCCTAAATCACAACAATGCAGAAACACTAATCCATGCTTTTATCACCTCCAGGCTGGATTATTGGAATTCCCTTTTATCAGGCTGTCCAAACTCATCATTAAAGACCCTTCAACTAATACAAAATGCTGCAGCACAGGTTTTAACAGGAACAAATAAGATGAACCACATCACTCCTGTTTTAGCAGCATTGCACTGGCTACCAGTTAAGTCCAGGATTGATTTTAAAATACTTTTACTCACATAGAAGGCGCTCAACGGTCAGGGACCATCCTACCTACAGGATCTTTTAATCTCCTATTGCCCCTCCAGGGCATTAAGATCCTAGAGTGCAGGTCTGTTGGTGGTTCCCAGAGTCCACAAAAAAAGATCAGGTGCTAGAGCTTTCGGCTACCAAGCCCCGTTCCTCTGGAATCAACTTCCAGTGACGATTAGGGAGGCAGAGAGTGTCCACACATTTAAGAGTAGGTTAAAGACTTTCCTCTTTAGTACAGCGTACAGTTAAGACTGGTTTTAAACCCCCTTTTATATACATCCTCATGTACCCTTCGTTTTATGGAAATGTAATTATTGTACTAACTGTATTTGTGTCATTGTGTTATGTTCCTTTTTAAATTGGTATTTTCGCATTGATCTTGTAAGATACGTTTGTTGTTTTTACATTGTTTTACATTGCCAATTGTGTTTGTTGATTTGTGAAGCCCTCTGAGACAAATATGATTTGTGATTTTGGGCTATATAAATAAACTTGAATTGAATTTAATTATTTCCTGGGCCCTGCTGCTGCCCAATGATCCACTATTACAGGTTTAATGAAGTGTCTAGATATCCCAGTGTGGGCGGTGCCGTGTACATGTGTGACAATTTATAGCTGATTAAATTCGAATAAAAAATTGACTAACTCATTGTTTGTGTCTCCAAAAAAAATCACCTTCAGATATTAGGTGGTTGCAGACTGTCCCAGACAAGAATGGACACATTAAACGGCCCCCGAATGCCTACTTCATTTGGGCTAGCATCCATCGGCGTGCCCTTAAAAAAGATGCCTCTTTAGTCAACATGACGTACACCTATCAGTTGCTGGGCAGCGAGTGGTCCAAACTCAGTGTGGAGAAGAAGAGGCCCTACTACGAAGTGGCTGACATACTGAAATACATTCACTGGCAGCATTTCCCTGGTATGGACATTTACACAGCTGATTAGAGTCCTGTGTGCAGATATACAGTAGGTTTTCAGTTTAAATCTGATCTGATATGCATGGTCAACATCTGATTTTCACTTACTCGTGCTCTTGGCTTTGTCATATCATGCCAGATTATAAATATCGCCCCAGGAGGAAGAGAAACATCGAGCGGTTTTCCTCAAAAAAGACAGCAGGACAGGACCCAGGTGTTTCCTTCTCAAGTGCCTGTCCTCAAGCTCAGTCCATGCGTCCATGCCCCAGTGCGGCCCCATATCCCATGTGCTATGAAGTTTACAACTATCCCCACACGCCTTCCTGCCAGTATCATCAAATGGGCCTCTGCTCAAGGGCACAGATCCCCACCTCAAGGTCAGACATCCTCAGTGAATTCAGATAAGTGACTATTTAGGGCTGGTTCATGTTTTTCAATGCTCCATCCATTGCCAATATTATTATAATTAAATTCATGTCTATCAATTCCATGGACAAGCAAAAGCACTGTTTATTTTAGTTTTCTCTAATGCAGCAGAAAGCTGACAGTTATTTGGTCTTGTGTGCAAGTGTTCTTATATTTATTAAAAAGCCAGATTTTTACCAATGCAAGCTGCTTACATTTTACACACCGTCTGTGATGTAATACTTTAAGAGGTTGTAGGATTCACACAATCACAACTCAATACCTTTTATTTTACATATTGAACTGAAGCATGTTCTAATTGATTTCCTGTGTGCTCATACCCAAATGCCAGATGTTCCACAGAGGGAATGAAGAATTACCACAACACTCAGATGACTGCATCAGAGGGACCTGAGCAGACTAATATGTTCCCCAGTCAACAGCCTTTGTCAGAAATCTAAGTGGAGTGTAAATATGATGATGATGTTTATGTTGTTGGACTGATCTAGGAGATGTTCAGCACACAAGTGTTATCATCAACATGTACCTAAAGTATGAAAATAAAACTGCATGAAATAAATAACCGAGTCATCTAAAACTTAAAAAAATCGTAACCCTGAAAAAATTCTAATGCTGAAATCTTCCATCCAGGTCATAAGTTTTAATTTAATTGTTGAAACTCAGCAATGTTGTTGTTCTTGGCCACATCTCAATGGGACCTTTTAGTATCCATGCAAAATAAAAATATTACTGAAACATAATTATCTATCTTCAAATATGTCCCTATGATTGTTTTACTGTTATATATAATGGTATTTTTCCATTATTGAGAAAGCACTTCGTCCTTCAATTTATCACTGTCCTTTTACATCTGTTCACAACAGTGGACTTTAACAGAAATAATCATAGCATAAAAATATCTACCAGCATCACCACAGTAAACACACAGAAGTAGAACAATTTAATGGTTTAAGTGGTAGTGCAGTAAGTCAGCTACATCCTGCATACTGTGTATGTGTACAGTCTACAGTGTGAACAAAGACATTGTGAAAAACTGGAGCCAATGAATGCTTGACCAAACCTCCGTGTGAGAAACATGATCCAATCAGAGCTAACTACGCTCTGTCTGACAGAAACGTTTAGCCAATACTAGACGTAGAAACCACTTAGGGGCGTTTCCAGGAAGAGAGTGGTTACATTTTCCTGTAATGGCGGACCAGACAGAGAGCGAGGCTATCGGGTTCAGCGACAACAGGTCAGATAATAGCAAATACAGTGTTAAAATGAATGTGCGCTCAGTATACAGGAAGCCACAAGCCACGCTTTCCTGTGAAGTTGTTTCGCGTTGTATGTGTTTAATAAGGTGGAGATAAACAGCCGTTTAACTTGTGCATGTAGCCTTGCTAGCTAACTAGCTTGCAGCTAACTAGCCTGTGTTTCCAAGCGGCTGGTCTCTGCTCTCAGATTTCTTACCACGCGGTAAACATGGACATCCACAGACAGATGTTTTTCTCCTTCTGAATGCCTCCTTCAACATGCCTTGAGTCTCCGTTCAGACACAGATCCAGTCTTTAAGTGTGCTTTTTAAATGTTAATGCCATATTGCAAGCTAGCTAAGCTATGCTATATTCATTAGTAAGCAGGAGCGCACAACTCGGTCAATTCAGTGTTTTGAATGGACTGGGGTGCTGTAAGCCTGTTTTGTTATAAACGAGACCAACTGAGTGTTTGATTAACCTGAGAACCTGAGTGTGTACTGTTTTGATCAACAGGATATCACCCTAAAGAACATGTGGAATAATAAACAACTTAGAGCTACATAGCGTTACAGTTAAAAGGGTGCTACACCCACTGACTCCGTAGCAAAAACATCTACCACGTCACAGTGTTATTCCATCTTTAAAAGCGTATTCCTGCTGCTCATATGTTGTAGGCACATCAGCGCAAATGTATCCATACAATACCATGCATGCTTAATAGTTTACTGCTTACAGTTAACAGTTGCTACAAAGTTTTTTGTAATATAATTATAGTCTGCTAAACTAGCCTAGCTACTGCATCATCCCCCCTTGTAAAGATCTACATTAAACAATATCTTGATTGATAAGCAACTGCTAAACAATGCATAGATGTTGTACATATTCTTAGATTAGATTCAACTTTATTGTCGTTGTGTGCACAGTGTACAGAAACAACAAAATGCAGTTAAGTACATATTAAACCGAATGAAATATAGAATAAATAAGATTTGATTTTAACAGCTAGATTTAGAAATACACTAGATATAAACAGTACATACAAACATAGAGGGCAGTGCAGGGGATACAAACAAATATGTATCCTGCTGGTCTAAATACAGGTAATGCTAATAGTAAGAGGTTATAGACATATGCAGGTATGGTAAGACTATGGTGAAAAGATCCGGTATATAAAGTGTTAGTATGTAAGTACTGATCAGAGTGCTCATATAGTAGGTTTTTGTAGATGCTACTTAGTGCTCTGCCTTTGAACACGTGTAGTAACTTGATATTGTCTTGCTTCGTTAGAATGGTGCAGCAGGCAGTGCGGTTTCGCAGCCCTGCGCCTGCCCCCGCACCCGCCCAGACACCAGTGCTACGAGGCCCACCACCTCTCCTCAGGCCGCCGCCACCCCCCTTTGGGATGATGAGGGGACCTCCGCCACGCCCCCCATTCGCACGCCCCCCCTTTGACCCCAACATGCCGCCCATCCCACCACCAGGAAGCATGCCACCACCCATCGGACCTCCACATCTACAGGTGAATGTCCAAAACTCTTATAAGAAGTGCATGTTTATCTTCACGTTAGTGTTGGCTGAGTAATTTTAACTTTGCCTGCAGTGATCTGCTACACTGCATTTATAGCAAGACGGGCAAAAGTAAAATAAATCTTTTACAGAATGTAGCTGGAAACATTTCTCGACTTTACACAATTGACTAGACATAGATAATGAAAATAATCATTTGTCACAGTAACATCACTATAATCCCTTTAAAAAAAGACATATTACAGAATCAAGGAGGAATATGACTGAAACGATTTGAATTGACTTAATTTATTTAACGATCGAGTTGTTTCGACTGCTTTTCTGTCTTGACACCCAGAAATCTTTGTGGGCAATTTGTTTACCTAGCCCTACCGCTTACAGTCTGAAAATGTAATGCTCTGTCTCTATATTTTGCTGCAGAGACCTCCGTTCCTTCCGCCTCCCATGGGGAACCTGCCGCCTCCCCCAGGGATGCTGTTTCCTCCAGGGATGCCCCCCGTTATTGCATCTGGAGCCCCGGCAGAGGAAATCTGGGTAGAGAACAAGACGTCTGAGGGAAAGGTAAGCCAAAAGTCATACTTAAGCACATCGTAAGGCCCCTTTATTAATGACATGGAGAATTAATTATTGATTTTTACAGTATTTTGAAGTTCACAAAAGTATATTATAATTTAGAAAAGTAAGGTCTAGTGATGTGGAATGGATGAATATTAGACTTGAAATAAACTTTCCTCTATAAAAATATAATTGGTTATGAATACAGGGGTACAATTATAATTATTATGCTGTTGCCATGATTTATATTGTGGTTATTATTTGTTATTACGTTTTTTTTTGTCCATTATCCTGTCCACAGGCATATTACTACAACGCCAGGACTAGAGAGTCATCGTGGAGTAAACCAGATGGTGTAAAAATCATCCAGCAGTCCGAACTGAACCCTCTTCTTGTAGCGGGGTCGGGTCCAAATGTGACGGCAGCTGGCAGTTCCAGCAGTGTCAACACCACAGCCAGCAGCACAGCAGCCATGCAGACTCAGGCCCTCTCCACGACCCCCTCCCGCACACTCGCCTCCAGTCCAGACTCCTCCAGCCACTCCCCCTCTGTGACTATTTCAGGTGAGTACACACTCTTACATCAACCATACACTCACAGACACAAACACAAATTAAAAATCCCTCCATTCTGTCTCTGTGTTACAAAAAGCCCCTGTTGTAGCAGACCTACCCCCTGTCGCCACAGTGTCTTCAAATGTAGCTGTGTCTCCAGTCACTGTGGTAACAGTTTCCACGGTGCCATCACCTGTAACGGCGGTGCAGACCATGGCACTGCTGCCTGCAGGGCTGCCCCACAATGTGGGCCAGCCCACTGCAGCACTACCTGCCTTCCCCCCTGTGATGGTGCCTCCTTTCAGAGTCCCACTGCCGGGCATGCACATCCCTCTACCAGGTAAGAACCACCAACTAAGAGCAAGAAACAAACAAGCCACAATATCTAGCTGCCATCACTGACTTAATACAGGAACTGCTGATTTCTTATTTTGGACTCCAGTAAAAAAATAGAGTACTGCAGCAATCTATATTGCCTGGATAACCAGGACATTTTGAGAGTATCTCCTTTAAAGTAAGGTGTGCCAAACTTCTTAGGTTACTCCTGTAATTTCTATGTGCCAGATACATATTTAATCAGCATTGCACACAGGCCTCACCTGCTGCTATGTAAATATAAGTAGTGGATCAGACTTGGCCGATACCTTATATTAAAGAACTAGAATCAGGGCCTAAATATCTTGGTAGGACAACTATAGTAGAAAGTATGATGTTGCTCCAATTGGGATTACTCTACTGTTACTGCGCTACTTAGCTAAGGAAATATTTTGTGACAACTAATATTCAGTCTGTGATAACGGACAAAACCTTAGTGTAGCCAGTGGACTCCAAGTCGAGCTGTTATTGGAAGGACTATAGAGACACCCGCATGTCACAAGTGTCTCTTAAAGACTTCCCAACAAACATCTCCTGGTTATTAATATGTTCTAGTCAGTTCATTCAGCACAGTTTTGTCAGGAAATTTTGTTCACAGTTCACACTACAAGTCTTGGGTGCTTTGGCTTAAACTGAAGTATGTGCTAATGTAAATGCTCCTGTGTGTTTGCTTTCCAGTTTTTCTGTCACTTTTGCCCTCTGTTATCTGTTTGATTCTCTCTGTCCCTCATTCTGGCATCAATTTTTCTAAGAAGCTCTTAATCTCTCTTAATACTATAATAATAATATTAATATCAGGTTTTTTCTTTCTTTTCTTTCTATTGAAATTGTTATTGTATTAATAGAAAGGGGAAGTCCCTCCCCTTCCGGTAGATCACCATGTGGCGAAATGTATTTAGACTGACCATTTTACACAGAACTACAAATAAATGCATCTTTCTTGACCTCAAAATGAACTTTGAAATTGACAAAGATAAAAAAAATCATTTGTCTCTCGCCCCAAAATCTACAGTGCAACTTTTTCCTAAAGACGGTTCCATAGGAGGCACAGACATGGGAGGGACTTGGCCTCTCTATGGTTTCCAAAAGAATTTAAGTTAGTAAATCTAACTTACACTGTGCTTATTCCTAACATCTGTCACAATTACATTACAGGCTAATAAACATGACACAAGACAAATGCAAAACCCACATTTCAGGCGTGTGTTTTTTCCGCCAGGGGCCACACACACAAACTCTTACACACCGTGGTAGCTCCTGTCTAGTGTCCTGCTGTGTTCAACCAGATGCTTGCTTGTCCGTTGTTCTTGCAGGTGTAGCAATGATGCAGATAGTAGGTGCCCCCTGTGTAAAGGCAGGCCCCGGCCCCAACGGTAAACACCCAGCCGCTCGCCTCTCAGACCTACAGTAGATGGCATGGTAGTGAATGATGTCTACATGAGTCATATGGTATATATGGCAACCCCAAAACAGTGACGGTGAATGATGTGAACATGATCCATCCATAGCACAGTAGACATTTCCTCTATTCCGACAGATAGCTTGATTCTTATTAAAAGTCTTCACCCACCAAAATGTATTAGTAAATCAATTACTCACCTTGTGATACCTTAAATTCTGAATTGAAGTAAATGGGGGTTTCCTGTTTAGGTTTCCTTTAACGCTAGCTGCTTTCGCCCAGTAGAGATGCAGCAACCTTGCAGATAGGGCTACATGTTGGGGTTGTTGTCTCCTTTTGTGACATGGTTATGAGTGTGTATTTGTGTGTGTGGTCACTGCTTTGTTTTTGTGTATGCGGCTTGTGTTTATAGTAGTGTGATATTCCCTGAAGACATCTTAAGTCTTGAGCAGTTCCATAACATGATCATTATTTGTATTCACTCACTGATTTAATAAGCTTTAAATGAACAGGCACATTTTTGAGTTGTAGTGAATCAAATTGTTTTAATCAGTGGAGTTCTCTGTCTCAAATCTTGTTTTGTTTAACAAACTAATGTCTTTTCTAGTCCACCACAACTGCTACTAGTTGCTAGGACAAAAATATGAGTCTCAGACGATCATGGTCTTTTTTTCTTCTCTCTGACAACAGGCATGCTTCCTGGCATGGGCCCGCCTTTAGTCTCGATGATGCACCCACAGCTGACTCTATCCGCTCCTGTCTCAATGGCCGGATCAATGCATCTCCCCGAGTGGTCAGAGTACAAAACCGCTGACGGGAAAACATACTACTACAACAACCGAACACTGGAGTCCACCTGGGTGAAACCCCCCGCCCTAGTGGAGAAAGGTAGGCACTGCAGATGAGAACACAGGCTTGTTCTGGCCTGACAAGTGTTCAGCAGCTATGAATGATATGTAGCATGTTTACTGACCTTATTGATGTGCACAACAGCACTTTTAATCATCTCATTATTGTTTCTTCCCCGTCTTCAGAAAAAGAAGCAGAAAGGATCAAAGAGCGTCTGGCCCAAGAGGAAGCGGAGGCGATGGAGATGGAGGACGAAGAGAACAAAATGGAAAACACTAATAATGAGAAGGAGGTATTTTAAAAGTTGATTTACCTACTTAATGAACACTTAAAACATTCGTGTTCCAAAGGGCATTGTTGCTATGACCTTAATGAAGAACAGTATAATCTCAAAGCACATTGTTAAGGGGTTACATTATTATAATTTTTCAGCATGCAAGAAATCTTATAAACTGCACAACATGAATTATACTACATAACTATACATATGGTATAATCAAATACGAAACACACACATTATTGCAAAGACATCACCAAAGAAAATAATGAATAAAGCTAAGGTATTATAAGTGTAATTTAAATAGTAATGGAAATGAATGTTTTTTGTGTCTTATTCAAGGAGCTTAAAGAAGAAGAGATGACGGAGGAGGAGAAAGCAGCGCAGAAAGCCAGACCTGTAGCCACCAACCCCATCCCCGGCACGCCATGGTACACACCACATACCAACCACAGCATCCTGCAGCTCCACTTTGCTGCACTAAAACCTAATGCCTTGTTTCCTATATCTCAGGTGTGTGGTATGGACGGGGGATGAGCGCGTGTTCTTCTACAACCCGACAACACGGCTGTCCATGTGGGACCGGCCCGATGAGCTGGTCGGCCGCGCTGACGTCGACAAGCACATTCAGGAGCCGCCGCACAAGAGAGGCCTGGAGGAAGTCAAGAAGACGGGTGGGGACAAACGGTCACATGCAGTCAGGATAATGACATTCAACATAGTACTTTTGATTGTTTTGAGACGTACACTAATAGCAGGATTGATGTTTTTATGCCAAGTAAGAAATAGCTGCTCTGTTATTCTTAAATGTTGTTTGCTGCAGTTGATGAAGTATTTATATGATGTCTGTGTGTTCAGTCCCAGGTGTCAATAAGGAGGAGCCAGAATTAGCCATCGCTACTGAAGAGAATCAGGATGAGGAGCCCACCAAAGCCAAAAAGAGGAAGTAAGTCATACCTGACTGCCCTTACCTGATGGTTTTCAATAGTCTATTGAAGTGACATGGACCAACTGTTTTTAGAAAGCATGCATTTTAATACTTGTGGCCATAATCAGGAATGTTTTTAACGTCCTTGCAAACCTGTTGTGGAAAAACATTTGTAATCAACTGTTGACTTCTTTACTGGCATATTTAACAAAACTTTGATATATGAGTTGTAATATGATGTGGGAAGTTATTGCTCTAATGCAAGTCTTTGTTTGCCCTCACAGGAAGGAGGAGGTGAAGGAGGCGGACTCTGAGAAGGAAGCAGCAATGGAGGCCGAGCTCAGAGCTGCCAGAGAGCGAGCTGTCGTCCCGCTAGAGGCCCGGATGACCCAGTTCAGAGAAATGCTGCTGGAGAGAGGGGTAACACAAATCTTTCATATGTGACCTGCTCTATCGAAATCAGTCGCATTGACCCGAAGACACATTTTTAGTTGTATGAAAGAGGAGATTCCTAGCTTTCTGATGATATCAGGATTGTTGTTGTACTCCAAATATTAAGCAAAATATGTCACATTATATAATGACTGTCACCGAGTCATCCTTTTGAGAAAAGGGCCTTCAAAGTTTCCTCTTCTCTGGAATCCATCGATCTGATTGATTATTAGCGGAGCAAATTATCAAAGTAGTACGGAGGGAAAATATTTTCGTTTGGATTACTGGTCTGGCTCGCGTGTGTGTGTGTGTGTTTGTGTATTTTTGCATTTGTGTGTATTGTGTTTGTTTCCCGGGGAAAACACTCACGAGAAACACCGGCTGTTGTTATGCCTGCTGTGACGTAAAGTTACTCCGTTCTCCGCTTGTGATTATGCCGTTACAAGCTTCAAAGTTGTATTAATCATCTGAATTTGCCGAAACAAGTTTAATATTCTGAAAGCCAAGACTTTGTTTATTTAAAATCAAACAAAACACCCGAACAACTATTTTTTTGCGCAAATCCACGTTTATTTTGAAATGAGCCTTTGCGACTTCCGACTGATTTCGATAGAGCGGGTCACATATCATTGTTTCAAGTGTTTGGTTTATTTTGTTATTATTTTCTTTGACCCTAATGCCAGCGTTGTCCGTATGACCTGTAGGTGTCTGCGTTCTCCACTTGGGACAAAGAGCTTCACAAGATAGTGTTTGACCCTCGCTACCTTCTGCTCAACCCAAAAGAGAGGAAACAGGTTCGGTTCATTTCCTTTTCTGATGCGTTTTTCTCCCTCCCCTCCCTGTCACTCTCACAGCATTGTGTCATGTATCGGCTTCTTTAGTCATAGCTTTGTGATTATATCCACTTCAGGTGTTTGATCAGTATGTGAAGACGCGAGCGGAGGAGGAGAGGAAGGAGAAGAAGAACAAGCTGATGCAGGCCAAAGACGAGTTCAGGAGGATGATGGAGGAGGCAAAGTTCACACCAAGGTATTTTTGTATTTTTAAAGTAAGTATTGATAAGTTACTTTCAACCTTATTGCAACATTACTATTTTGTAAGAATAAGAGTTCAGATTTTTGTGTTTCTGTTTATAAGCATGAGTAAAAAGTACCACATATATGTGACTTTTAAACAGTATTTAAACCATTTCTGCTGTTTTGGTGAATACCAGCAATATTTCACATCCTGATATATTATTAGTAGTTAGTAATAATTTGATATTTTGAGAGAGATTATTTAAAGAAATTATTTAAACTGTTATTGAAACTGTTCACACAAGTTGACACTGATTTATTTGATTTTCCTATCTTTACAGAACAACGTTTAGTGAATTTGCAGTAAAGCACGGCCGAGACCCGCGGTTTAAGACCATAGAGAAGATGAAGGACAGGGAGGCCATCTTCGTCGAGTTCATCACTGCTCTGAGGAAGAGAGAGAAAGAGGACTCCAAGTCCAGAGGAGAGAAGGTATCACTCGCTCACATTTATATCAGTGTCATATTAATCATTCTTTAAGGTGAAAGGGGTCAATTGATAACGAATATAAAACCTACAGGTCTATCTGCAGGGGTTCTGGCCTCCTGCTGATCATTTGTTGTCTGAGAGATTCCTAATTTCTTGTGTGTTTGTGTGTGCTCTCAGGTGAAGCTAGACTTCTTCGATCTCCTAAGTGAGCAGCACATAGAGGGAGGCCAGCGGTGGAGCAAATTAAAAGAGAGGCTCGAAACTGACCCACGATACAAGGGTGTGGAGAGCTCTGCACTCAGAGAAGAACTGTTCAAACAGTACATGGACAAACAAGCCAAGGTAGGAGCATGGCTTTTCTGTGTGGAAAATAACTGCTACACCATTAGTATAAATACATCAAGTACGTGTGATTGACAGGTAGTCTACACAGGGTTCATACGGTCATTAAAAACCTGGAAAAGTCATGGAAATTTCAAAATGCTAATTCCAGGCCCTGGAAAAGTTATGGAAAACAATATTATTATTTTTTGGAAAAGTCATGAAAATGTAACTAAAGTTGCATCAAATATAATTTATATTTTACCTAATCGCCGAAATAGTAATACTATAATGATAATAAATACTGTAAGTTATTTGTTTTACAACATGTTTCATATGCAGACCTTATTTTCCTGTTCCATGTTATAAACAATTTTCAGTGGTACCGCTGAGAAAAAGTCTTTTTTTTTGGTCATGGAAAATTAGGTAAAGGTCATGGAGAAGTCATTGAAAATCATTGGTGAAAAAGTGTATGAACCCTGTCTGCAGCTCTATTTCGAGGCATAGTTCTCATTGTCGACATCACCTGACAAACAGATCTGACACGTGTTTCTCCTCCACAGTGCGTGGACGTGGATAAGGAGCGAGAGTTGGAGCGGCAGGCTCGTATCGAGGCCAGCCTCAGAGAGAGGGAGCGGGAGGTGCAGAAAGCTCGCTCAGAGCAGACCAAAGAGATCGACCGGGAGAGGGAGCAGCACAAGAGGGAGGAGGCCATCCAGCATTTCAAAGCGCTCATGTCTGATATGGTGAGAGGCCCTGCAGCTTTTAATTTCCACATGAAAGTTGCTTTAATGTGTTTAAAATGTATTCATCAAATGATAATTGTTTGTAATTACTAATCTATGTGCATCATCATATATATCGTGTTTAACAAGATTTTCTAAGAAAAATGGATTGGCCGAAGATATAATCATATAGAATCTTTAAGATCACTTTCTAAAGTCTGTTTGCAGGAGCACAATACTCGTGGTTTTTTATTTAAAAAAATGTCACTTTATTTGGAATCAGCAGTGTACAATAATCTTTTTAAATATATTTACAGAATTATCCATCTTTTCAGCATTTCAAAATGTAAATAAAGACAGAGCATGGTTTGTTCTTTATTAGAGATATAAAAAAGGGGGTGCTTAAGCCATTTTAAATTGCAGCTCCACTATTCCAATTAAGTATTTTGTTTTAATATGTTTGATGTAGAAGCCCAGTAAGGAGTTTTCCAATTTAAAAAATATTTGTTTCAAATTCAGTATAAAACTTAAGCCAACAAGTATTTACTTTAGGACTTGCCTTAATAGTGTTTTTGTTTTTTTAATCCTTCTTAAGGTACGATCTTCAGATGCAGCATGGTCAGACACACGTCGGAATCTGCGGAAAGACCATCGCTGGGAGTCGGCGTCACTGCTGGAGCGAGAGGAGAAGGAGAAGCTGTTTAACGAACACGTAGAAGCACTGGCCAAGAAAAAGAAAGAACATTTCCGGCAGCTACTAGATGAGACCAGCATGGTGAGGAGTAAAAAGGTGCCAACAGCAATCAAACTTGTCTTCTTTAATGAGCAAATATTACCAGTGTAAAAATGTATATTGTTATATGTATATGTAATATATCATCAATGTATTTGTGTTGTAGATCACACTGACAACCACATGGAAGGAGGTGAAGAAGATTATCAAGGAGGACCCTCGCTGTATTAAATTCTCCTCCAGTGACAGAGTAAGACTTAAGTTACTATGCTTCTTGAATTCTTAAATGAAAATATAACAGTCACTTGACAACAATTACTAAATATACTAGAGTGTTTTGACTCTAGTGACGGGTCAAGACATACTGTGTAGTTGCACTGCACGATAAGAAAGTAGAAAATATCAAACTCTTCCTGTCATTGTTCATCAAATCCAAACCCCAGCTCTGAATTGATCAACAGAGAGGTTGATATTTATGTCCTAAACTTGTATTGGTGTGATTTATGTGAGTTTTGATGTCTGATGTGTTTAATCTGTGTTTGCAGAAGAGACAGCGGGAGTTTGAAGACTACATCAAAGACAAGTACATCACAGCCAAAGCTGACTTCAGAACTCTGCTGAAGGAGACGAAGTTCATCACATACAGGTCAGTACACTTTCTCTTACATGCTAGATGTGCAAAATGAAAACAGTGTCTCGTAAGTGTCATATTTTGTTGGACATGTATTACATCAAATGTATTGTCTACATTTGAAATAGTTTTTGGCCCCAAAAGAAGATGTCAAGATAAGCTGCAGACATGTAGATGGCACAGGATGTGATGGTGATACACATATTGTGTTACTTATAGACTGTGTCAATTTTTTCTTTTACTGTTAGCCAATCCAAATATTTAAAATAATTGTGTAGTTTAGCAAAGTCTCACTATACGAAATTGTTTCTAAAGGAGAGACTTTAACTTAAAGTGCACCTATCATGCTATTTTTAGGCAATAGAAAAAGAAAAAAAAAAAAAAAATATATATATATAAAAAACATGTCTATGAAGTGTTTTGCTCAAAATACCAAACGGTAAACCCATTCTAGCCATGCCTCATATCCCTCTTTCACTTCCTGTTTCAAAAGTGCTGATTTTGGGTATAAAGCTTTAAAAAAATAAAAATTGATAACAAATTAAAAAGGAGGGGGCTGAGCTCATGCGGGACCCGGCAGCTACTGTCTAAACTAAATACTGCCGTGATGAAACGCCATATCATGGATTATCAAGGATTATTTCTGAAACAGTATGGAGCTCAAAGGCTTTCTCTCTTGCCGGTTATACCACAAGGTGAGTTCCTTTTTATTTCCTGCTTCTTCAAACACATGCTCTCCAATACAGGTTAGCTCTGAGTGTTAGCGATGCTAATGTAAACACCGTCCAAAACAGTCGGGCATTGTTTCTGATAGCAACGTTTCTGATTGTGCCGTGGGTCCACATTTCCGATATTACGTCATATCGGATGCAAATCTGGATCAGCTCCGTTGGACCCCCCGTTTTTAGAGATGTGGGTACGGAGGAAAAGAGAGAGGGTTTTCTTTTCTGACGCTACGTGAGTTCCCTGACACATCGGGGACACATATTTATGTATAAAAGACATAAAAAAGTGCATTTTGCATGATAGTTCCCCTTTAAATCAGAACAGCAGTTGTTGTCCTTGAATCTCACAGAGGATAGTATGACCATCCTGTGCCTTACCCATGTCTCACCTCCTCTCCTCCCTCAGGTCGAGAAAGCTGATCCAGGAGTCAGAGCAGCACCTGAAGGATGTGGAGAAGGTTCTTCAGAACGATAAGCGGTACCTCGTTCTGGAGTGTGTACCCGAGGAGCGCAGGAAGCTCGTCATGTTCTACATCGAAGACCTGGACCGCCGTGGCCCGCCTCCTCCCCCAACTGCCTCTGAGCCCACCCGACGCTCCACCAAGTGACCAATCACATCATCTTCTTGGCCGGGTCCTACTCCTCCTCGCCTTCCCTTTGGCCAGAGCATGATCTCCCCTGAACTCCCCCCTGATCTCCCCGCCCTTCAGGCCCACGGCTGGCCTCACAGTGTTATGGCTGGGGCTCATGTCGCTTGGAGATGTACCATAGAGATGAACGGTTAAGGTCTCTGTGTAATGTCACCTCTTAGCCCTGAAATTGCCCTGCAGTTAAGGCAGGAAACTGAGGTCACCTGATCTGAAGGTGACCCTTGAGCCCTCGTCTCTGGCTGACCACATTAGAGGGAGAGGAATACTGATAAGGCTGCTGCACGAGCAGCCACAGAGAGGTGTAAGATAACGGATGTAAAGGAAAATTAGTGCGAGTGAGAATGAGTGAGTGTGCGAGTCTGTGTGGTGTGTGCATGAGTGCGTGTGTGTGTGCATGTGACTGAGGCGTCCTTAAGCCTTACTGCTCCACTTTGCCATTCATTGTTTCAGCGGCTCAGTGTGAATGTTAGTTTCTGCTCAGTGGTTTACTCCGATGTTGCAGCAATTTCTCTGTTGAAGGAAATAAAGGAAACTTCCACTGTTTTTTTCAATTTATTGTCCTGATTTTCTGTTTTCGTTGCATATTATCTTGGGTATTCAGACACAGAAATTGTTCCACTAGAAGTCAATATTATGCATTCAAGTTCTTTCCTTAATTAGAATGTGTATATTAACAACAAATTGTGCCTAAATTGTCCTTAGTGTATTATTATAAATTATGTTGGATTAAAAATACTGCTGCATTTTACTGTTATAAAGATGTACAGGGCTATTTGATGCCGTCTATGAAACATTTATGCTGCATCATGTTTGAATTGGACCCATAGGATTGGACCATGCGACTACTTTTACATTTTCCAATCCTGTGTCAACGCTGCGTTATAAAACCATGTTGTTGCAGTAACATTACGTGAAGTACGTAACTCAATTGTCTGCTGCGGAGTTACTATGCCTGGCTGTGATTGGTCGAAATAAGCCACTTTCGGATCACGTGATATTTCCGTACGTGGGTATAAGCGCCCGTTTATTGGAGAATGGATCTGCATCGTCATGACAATGATAAAGCCATCTTTTGTGCACTATCACATTTAAAGCTTATTTAGCCACAAAGCGAAATGTACACTGTCTGATTCTAAACAAACTGTTGGTGTAAAGGAAAGATAAAACCTATTAGGAGCTAACGTTGACCCTGATGTGTTAACTGTCGCTGCTCCGTATCCGCTCCTCGCCTCCTCCCGGGTATCTCAGCTCCGGAGCCGCTATGGACGGCCCTCTGCTCCCGCTGATCCTCGTCCTGCTGTCCGCCTGCTCGGCTGTCGGAGACCCGGCGGGATCCGACCATGTGGACGGAACTCCGCCTTCTAAAATAGGCAAGAAAGTAATGTGTTAAACATCATAGCGTCCGTTGAATTTAGCTAATGTTAGCTGCATTGCGAGGGTTACATGCTAGTCTAAACGAGAGATATGAATCTTACGGTTATTAGATACATGCGTACAACAAAGTTAGTGTAGCTACATCTGTAGGTAGCTTGGTAGATCATGTTTTATGCTATAGCTATATTAACATTTCAATGACAAACAAGGTGTTTAACATACATAAACAGACAATTCCAGATCCAGTTATGAAAAAGAGGCTTCATTTAGTCAACATAAAATAAATATCTGTGTCATGGTGAAGATAAATCACATCAAAATGAGCTTTAAAGACTGTTAAGACTAAGTTGGAGAAAGATGAACCTTATGAGTTCAAGCCCCCCCCCCCCCCCCCCCCCCCCCTACTTCCTCTCATAATTACACAACCCCTTCTTCACCTGCCATCATCACAGTTCACCAAAACATACCTATCAATGGAGGGTGCTACTTGGCTGGAAATAAAGGTTTTTTTATAGGCAATGGCATCAAATCCTCTTGATTTGCACTGTAAATGTTGCAACTGCTTAGAGTTTTAGGAAAAAAGTTTATATTGCACCTAAAGTCAGGTCAAGTCTCAAAGTAACCAAGCGCAGCCATAACTTTAAAGGAAAGGCAAAACCTGTAATGTATGAGGAGTTGCAACATGAATTGGGACTTTAAAGTATTTATACAATTTAGTTGTATTGACCCATCAGCAGTTTAAATGCAAATATTCTATTTGTACAATGATATACAAACAGAAAGAAGTGACTCTCATATTAGAGAGAGGATGTTTTTGTAAAAAAACATCAAAATAGTTAAAGGTGGGGTAGGTAATTTTGGAGAAACCAGCTCGAGTGTGCTAGAATTTAAAAATACACAGCCGGAAAAAATCTCCCACTTCCTTACAGAGCCTCTCCTCCAACACACACGAACGCGCACATGACCAATGAGGGCACGAGATAAGTCTGTGCACAAATGGAAGGCTGACAGGCAGGTAGGCCATCCAGTTATTTTAGCCGGGCTTTTTACAGTACTACGGCTTCCACAGATGAAATTATTTAATGGATTTTTTGTCAAAGCACTTAAAGGTGGGGTAGGTAATTTTGGAGAAACCAGCTCGAGTGCGCTAAAATTTGAAAATACACAGCCGGAAAAAATCTGCCACTTCCTTACAGAGCCCCTCCTCCAACACACACGAACGCGCACATGACCAATGAGGGCACGAGATAAATCTGTGCACAGATGGAAGGCTGACAGGCAGGTAGGCCATCCAGTTATTTTAGCCGGGCCGGCTAAAATGATTGGTCGTGCTTTTTACAGTACTACGGCTTCCACAGATTACATGTTTTTATGGATTTTTTGTCAAAGCACTTAAGATATTCATTGCTATTGGGATGTTAAGAGCATTCCATGGAATATAACAAAAAGTGTATCTCGAGCCGGTTTCTCAAACTTACCTACCCCACCTTTAAAGATTCATTTTATTTTTCATTGATTATTAAATGAATAATTATTTGATTGTTTAAGCAAAATAGGAATAACAAAGTAAATATAAAAAAAAGGAAGAATAATAATTTGGTCCAATGAAAGTCTATTCCCTACATCAGTAACGTCAGCATGAAGGAGAATACTCATGATTTCTGTCAAATCATTTTAAGGTCCTTGTAAACCCTGCAATGGAATTTTCCAGTGGGAGAAATACTCAGAAGAACCAGCTGATCTGTCTACTTGCCAATAAAACATTACGCCATCAATGCATCAAACACCCTATTGTTTCTCATGTACTCTCCTCATTCCAGCAGAAAGACATCATGACCAATAAAAGCTGCTAAAAACAAGAAATATTACTTTAAAACCCTCAATAGTGATTAGTTTATTTTATCATTCATTTGAGACACATATGTGTTATCATGCCTTTGAACAGCGTAGTAATGCCATGCACTCATACAATTAATTCAGGTATTATCAGTTCAATAGATGTATGACACACTTTAATTCTAAATGTCTTCTCTGCTGTTGGCTCTGATCCTCCAGCGGTGGTCGGGGCGGGGATAGGCGGCAGTGCCACAGCACATTTCCTGCGGCAGCACTTTGGCCCTGAGGTCCAGGTGGACGTGTTCGAGAAGGGAGAGGTCGGAGGTCGTCTCGCCACCGTAACCGTCAATTACAACGATTACGAGTCTGGAGGATCCATCATTCACTCCCTCAACCTCCATATGCAGGAGTTTGTCAAACAGCTAGGTTTGTACACCTAAGCGCAGCTTGCAGCTTGTTCACACACATTCAGCTTGTTCACACACATTCAGCTTCATTGACCCATCGACAGGGACACACGCATACAAGTTTTAGGACGAGAGGTGTATGTGACTGTGTAGCATTAACTTATCATTTTCTAATTATTTTTAACAAAGTATGCATTGTTGCATAATAAATAGTCAAATAGAGCGACCATTAGACCAGAAGGGTTTATGGTTTGAGTTTAATAAGCAGCTTGTTAACCGTCATCCAGTATTCAGTGCCTTGAAATTATATACAAGTCACATGACTGTTTTCATCTTGCTGCAGTTTATGTAGATAAGTCAAATCCCTGTTTATAAAATACAAAGGGAGACGTTTTTACATTTAATATGAAATGTCCTTTGTTTCCAAACACTCTTTATTAAATTCCTCCCTGTGTGTATCTGTTTTTGCTCTTTATTTACTCCCCTGTCCACCCCTCAAGGTTTAAAGTATCGCCGCAGCGTGGCGGGAAAGACGGCGGTGTTTAACGGCGAGGAGATGATCCTGGAGGAGACAGATTGGTACCTGCTGGACCTGTTCCGGCTGTGGTGGCGCTACGGCATCAGTTTCATACGCCTTCAGATGTGGGTGGAGGAAATTATGGAGAAATTTATGAGGTGAGGCTGACATATTAATGCCCTGCTTGCTTGACAGGATGTAGCTGTGGTGCAGCTGAACCCTGATGTGTGCTTATGGGTCAGACCTGTTGTTGTAGATATCCGTCATGTGTCTGAAGGTACACTTTAGCTTACATAAACCTGCATCTCACTGATCTGCCTAGACTGCTTCATATTTTCTGCTACATGTTTCTGGAGTCCAGAATAACATGGAGCTGATTGTTTGATGATGCCAAGCAAATTTACAGTATGTAAAACTATTTAAAACGTTGTCATTGCCACCCTTGTTTTCACTCTATCTAGGGCTGCGACTAACTATAGTTTTTCTAATTGATTAATTATAAGCTTTTCTAGATGAATTGATCATTTGGTCTACATTGTCAAAGAAATGTGAGAATTACATTCCAAAATCATCAAAATCCAATGTGACGTCTTAAAATGTCTTGGTTTTTTTCCACAAACCCCTGAAAAATATAATTTTAAATAAGCTTTTTAATAGAGAAAGCTAAAACAGCATTTGTTGACATGTTTGTACATTCAGTAACTGATGAATCCTCTAATTGTTGCTTTACACTAACAGAATAATAGATATAACAGATAATGATAAATAACAATAACTTCACATGTAGAATGAATGCACAATATCCCAACAATGTAAAATATGGTTATGATCAAATCTTTTGCTGCAGCTCTGTCATTTTGGGTAAACTAGGAACAGATTTGCATTTCATTTCTCCAACATCACACTTCAATGATCTCTACTTCACTTTGTCACTCTGCATCTCTCTCTTAATGAAGAACTGTGACCCAGACTGCACCTCCATCTGTCCGTCTCTCCGCCTTTTTGTTTCGCACACATTGAAGGGTGTGATAATCCAAAACTACAGAGAGGAATGAGGACATCTGTCTACTGATTTAGCAGTTGTCCATTATTATTATTGATCACTTACCATTTGTTGTGGATCCTACAGGATCTACAAGTACCAGGCGCACGGCTACGCCTTCAGCTCTGTGGAGGAACTGCTGGACTCTCTCGGGGGGAGTGGCTTCATCAACATGACCCGAAGGCCGCTCTCTGATTCGCTGCTGGAGCTGGGTGTGTCGCAGCGCTTCATCGACGAGGTCATCGAGCCCGTCATGAGGGTCAACTACGGACAGAACGTCAGCATCCCCGCCTTTGTAGGTCAGATGAGTGTGAGGAAATGAGCAGCAGGGGAAGAGGAGGGAGGGTGAGAGAGACAGGGAAGAGCAAGGCTGCGGAAATTAGGACTGATGTAGGTCAGAAGAGAGAAAAGGACAAAAAGAAAAGACCTTGGAGTTGAGAATAGAAAGAGAAGGAAGGTGAGAGGAAAGGGTGGCCTGGCGGAGCGAGAGAACAGGAAAATGTGTGGGGAGCTGATAATTGGTTTATAGCACTGGACATTGTCTGTGTTAGTGGGTGAGCATGTGTGTAATATGTGTGTGTGTGTGTGTGTTTTAAAGGCGCTGTGTCTCTGGCTGGTGCCCAGAACAACCTGTGGGCGGTGGAAGGAGGCAACAAGCTGGTGTGTTCTGGCCTGCTAAAGATGGCCAACGCTAACCTTCTGCAGGCACAAGTCAACTCCATCTCACCCCTCTACTCAGGTACTTCAACCCTGAGAGTACCAAGATTCAGATTCATTTAATTCAGTTTTCCAAGATTTTTTAAACGTGTTTCCTGTTGTTGTTTTTGCAATACAGCATTTTAATTATTAACCTTGTCTGAAACTATGCATCTTCGATCCATGAATTTGAGAGAATTGTGCCTGGAAAGCCCTGGAAAATCTCTTACATTAAACAAGTAATAAGGATTACTGGATACTGGCTTTAAGCAGAATATTATACTTTTGCGAAGCAGAAACTTCACACTCGTGCTAGATGCTATGTTCCTTCATTGTGTTTCCAAAATATATTTTTGGAAACTCAATGCAGATAAAGACAGCATGGTCAAAACACCATTAAAAATGACCTAGGCCAGAATGTCAAAACACCATTAAAAATGACCTAGGCCAGAATGTCAAAACACCATTAAAAAATTATTCAGGCCGAAACTTCAATAAAAATGATCTAAGTCGACATGTCAAACAAATATGCTTGAGTAGGGGGATTCAGGAGGGTGGAAGAAATAATGGTGTCTTACGTAATGGAGAAAGTCAAGATAAAAAAAAGGAGAGCCTGAGACTCCCCTAGTACCTGAGATAATCCGATACTCCACTAATTAGACTATTACTGGGATGAAAGAGAAGTAGGCTACACACACACACACACACACACACACACACACACACACACACACACACACACACACACACACACACACACACACACACACACACACACACACACACAGACATATAAGAAGGCGAAAACAACTGATAAGAAATGTGTATAAAATAGAAGGGTGAACATTGTAAAGGTAGTCACTTCATGAACTGACTCGTGTTTGCTGTACTTTGTTGAATCTTCAGTAAACTCTATTCTATTGGAACTCTTTTGAATGTTTGGGAAAGTTAAATAAATTCTAACATAGTGTTGTGAAGATCTCGAAAGACATCCGGCGCAACTTCAGAGGTTTCTCCATGACAAAATCTGATGTTGAAACTGAACTACTATATACCTAATGTAGAAATGTTACATATTGAAAAGAAAGCACAAAAATATTTTATTTTGAAAACCATCTACAGAATCTGAATTTATTTATATCGCTTATAGCTCGCTCTTTCAAATTTCCAGAGGTAATTTTGGTCCTTTCAACAGAAATTAATATTCATTATTGCAGTATCTAAACTCTTGTTTTTGGCTCAGACATTGATTAATGTGGCCGGAGGTTTTTATCGCTATATTTTCCGGTAGATACCACTGATGAATTAGTATTCAAATAATCAGTAGAGTGTTAATGTGTGTATTTCCCAACAGGAGAGGCTCCTCAGTACCAGCTGAGCTTCACCACAGCGTCAGAGACGAAGTCGGAGCTGTACGACATCGTGGTGTTAGCGACTCCACTGCAGGCCAGCGTCAGATCCGGAGTCCAGTTCCAGGGTTTCACCCCTCCCTTCGACGAGCTCCCTGGCAACTACCACAGCACTGTAGCAACCATCGTCCATGGTTACCTTAATACCTCTTTCTTTGGTTTCCCGGACCCTCGCCTCTTCCCCTTCGCCAGCGTCTTGACAACCGAGTCGCTGGATGTGTTTTTCAACAGCGTGGCGAGTGTTTGTCCCGTCAACATCTCCACAGGCTTCAGGCGTAAACAGCCACAGGAGGCCGGAGTCTATAAAGTGTTTTCTCGACAACCTCTGGTGAAGGCTCAGCTGAAAACATTGTTCAGGTCAGACACTTTCCCTCCTGGTGAGAAATAATCGTATTAACTCGAGCTGTAACCAACTTTATTACTTCGTCATTTTATTGGTTCCTATCCTACGGTCATTGAGGTTGGCATTAAAGGTCCCCTATTATGCAAAATGCACTTTTTGATGTCTTTTATACATAAATGTGTCCCCGTTGTGTAAGGAGACTCACAAAGTGTCGGAAAATAAAACCCTCTCTCTTTTCCACCGTACCCAAATCTAAAGAAATGGGGGTACAACGGAGCTGATCCTGATTTACTGCCGATATGACGTAATATCGGAAATGTGGGCTGGCTTTACACCCACGGCACTATCAGAAACGTTGCTGTATCAGAAACAATGCGCGACCTAATAGACGTAATATGGTCTTTGTTTACATTAGCAAGCATCGCTAACACTCAGAGCTAACGCTGTCCTGGAGAGAGTATGTGTAAAAAAATATATATATAAAAAGGTACTCACCTTGTGGTGAACCAGCAAGAGAAAAAGCTCCATAGTCATAAATAATCCTTGATGTGGTTTGGAACATGATATGGCGTTTAATCACGGCAGCATCTAGCTGAGTATCTGTTTCTCTGTGCAGCACTTCTGTATGTGCGCTCCAAAGGGGGCGTGGCTACTGACCCAGAATCAGAACTTTAGTTACAGGGCTGAAATAGAGGGGTTTGGCTACAAAGGGTGATCTGTTTGATATTTTGAGCAAAACACTTCAGAGACATGCTTTGTATAGATATGGCCCTATAATATATTGTTCATATATAGCATAATAGGTGAGCTTTAACATCTTTACTTGTACTCCTCCACCTCAGGTCGTACTACTCGGTGCAGGTGACCGAGTGGCAGGCCTACCCTTGTTACGGTAGCAGCCAGGGACTCCCCCCTGTGGAGCTCCACCCAAATCTCTACTACCTCAATGGCATCGAGTTGGCCGGTAGCGCCATGGAGATGAGCTCAGTGGCGGCCAAGAACATCGCCCTGCTGGCCTACCACCGCTGGAACGGACAGACGGACATGGTGGACCAGAAAGATCTGATGCACAGGATCAAGACTGAACTATGACCGGGTAAACTGGAAGCATTGTGGCATCACAAAGCTGGTGTGCCGGAAAATGTCTGTGTTAAGGTACAAGATTTTACATTTGAATCGTGATATGTCTCAAGTAGCGAAATGTATTTAGAGACACTTCCGAGTTATTTATTACTGAACACATCTTATACACTGAATATATGATAGTAGGTTGATTCTAATGTTGCACTGCCTTATCTTAAATAAACGTAACCATGCAACAAAGAAGCTAGTAAACATTAAAATAGGGCTGCACAATATTTCAGCATCCAGCGCATGTGCGATATTCACATAAAATAAAGTAAGTAAAGCAAATGAACTCCAACACGTCATGCTAAAATATGTTTTCAGGTCAAATTAAAGGAAAAGATTTCAATGACTGGACAACAGGAGAAGTCTGTTTGATATAACATCATTTTACTCTGTTAATATTGAGCGACATGCATTAATATTTGTTCCCTTTATCAAACAACCAAAGTGGGCCCCGCTAGTCTCTTACCACAACCCCAAATATAATTGAAGAACAGGTCAAAGACAAACGCATCTTTGGTAGTATGGAAATACTTTGGCTTACAAAAGGATGATGCACAAGAACGGTTTAAAAAGTCCTCTATTTTTTCTTTATGATATTGCAGAAATGGCAACATTTTCCAATACTGTGCAGCCCGTTATGAAGGTCGAATGAAGTCTAGCATTCTAATCACATCCCAACTATTTTGCTGATTGCTTCATTCTCTTTGCCAAAGAGACATTGCAGACATTTTGCCGGATTGGTTCAGGATTGATTGCTAATGCTAATTGGCGGCCTCTTCCAAAAAGTCTCCTGCAGGATGCTTTTCTTTGCCAAGACATATAGAAACAAAGCAACCGTTGAAAACACCAGCTAATATTTATCTCTGTGGGACTGTTGCGTATGGGATGGATCGCTTATTTCACTGTCTTGTGGCACAAAAACCAGCCCTCTGTCATATAATCAAATAACATCAGCGCTGCTTTTACTGTATACGTTGAAGGACTGTTTGTGGACACCGAGGACTCATCTAGTAATGTCAGTAGGATGTTGGTAAATAATTAAAACTGATTCAGTGACTCATGGTCGTGGCCACTGGCGCTATGCTCTATTGCCTCTTTCATCAGACGATTTCATTATCTCTACTTCCTGCTGCTTTTGTTGCGTAATCCAGCGGAAAGAATTTTTTCGGGAACAGAGCCAACGAGCTTTCACACTGGACCAGATGAAAGCAGAGGACAGATCTATGGAGCTGCTGGCTGATGACACGTTTTCTTTTTCTTTTTTTGAAACATTTTGACTTTCCCTAAAGCTTTATTGAAATTCTGCATTTTAAATAAGTGCTGTAATCTTTGAAAAACTGATGACTCATGCAGTTGGACATTTGCTTCTGGAAATGCTCAAAATGATGGTATGGTGATGAGAAAACTGTTGATTATCCTCATGAGGCTACTTTTACATTTCATTTATAATGTTGGATTCGGACGGAAGTGGATTTCTGGACTCAGAAAAACTTAATTGAATTGTGCTCAACTGAAAATCTTGTGACTGCAAAGGGTGGCAGTCACAAGTGATTGTGTCCTGTGATGAGAAAAACAACACTTCCCTTTTAATCTCGTGGAATTCAAAACACCACGTTGGCGCCAGAAAGATGGTGGTGCAGCTGAACGGAGGATTGTTTATCTTTTTCAAAATGAAAGGTCTTTATTAGCAGCAGCTGTCTGGCAGTAGTACCTTTTTAAGATATGCTGTAAAATAAACAGGATGCACGTATTATCAAAGCATCTTTTGGACTGACAAAACGATTTGAATTCAAGGTCAACTTTGTATATATATCAACAGCATCTTCAGGAACTTAAAAACGAAGTGGTCTCCAAGCATTTATGGAGGTTGTGATGATGGAAACTTAAGACAAAGAGAGAAGGGAAACCTTGGATTTAAATGATTTTGTCAAACAACACAAACAACTGTTCACACCTTAACGCTGCTTCTCTATGAGCGTAGCTTTCTGCTCTGTACTGCACATATCAACACATTGTATGTTCCTGATGAAGAAGTTCCTGCAGAACCATGCAGCTGTTATAATGAATAATGTGCACTCTTCTGACTGTTGATCAAATTAAAGTATTGGACCGTACATATTTCCTATATTTTTTTATGATATACTGTCCGTATTCATGTTTTATTTTCTGTTATTTAATAATTGAACTGAGGAAAAAACGACCTCTGAGCACTGAACAAAATCTATTTTCTCGCTTGAATTCACTCTGTCAACGTTTGATTTATTCTACTGGAATGGGAGGAAAAGGAAGTGATATGTCACTGACAGGACGTCTACTGTTGGGGGGGAACTGCCTGTAAACTCCTGCCACATTATTTCCACTGGAGAGTTAGAAAATGTTAGTTCTTTGATTAATAAATCTGTTCCTTGTAGCTTCATGGACAGCATGCTGCAGCTCTTTCACTGCGATGGACCTTTTCATACTGGGTTCAACTGATGAGATCCTGAATCTGCATAATGTACACGCTCAGTTATTTATTTAGGTTTTTATGAGCTGAAATCAGACCGTGAAGCTCCACCTTTTGATTTTACACAGATTTCTGCTTATTGTGGAGAAAGATCAATTTATCTATGCTTTAAAGCAGGGCTTCTCAAACTCCGGACCAAGGTCCGGATTCGGACCGAACTGCAAATCAATCCGGACCGAACCCTGTGTCCCATTCTAAAAAAAAATTTTTTTTAAATGTATAAAAAAAAAGAAAAATCTGATAAATTAATGTACATCATCATGTACGCGCGTCTTGTGTCTGACGCGTTGTGAGAATGAACGTGCATATATATTTACTTGTGTGTGCGAGCGTGACACGCATAGCAGACCGCAAATTAACCGCAAGTTTACCTTGACTTTCTAATGCTTCTAATGCCTTTTTTGCCGAGGTTCAAAGCATTGACTACAGACAAACAGTGCCATTTCTCCCACTAGTTCAAGCCACCATACTGTATGTATGTATTGAATGTGTGTGTGTGTATACAGGGGCGCCGTTTACCGACAGGCAAGGCAGGCAAGGCAGGCAAGTGCTTGGACCAGAAGGGGTCCCCCAAAGAAGGTAGATTAAGAAGGTCCACAGCAACGACAACATGAAACACCCTTTTACCTTGCAATGACATGTCGGGCCCCATGCATAGAGCGCCAAGAAACTGCTTCTTAATTTCAGTTTCGTTTCTCCGCTCAGGGACGGGGACGGGGACGGGACTTTACTGGCATTGATCCGGACCAGTGACCTTGTGTATAAAGTTCACAACTGGACCTTTAATAAAAAAGTTTGAGTACCCCTGCTTTAAAGGGTCTGAAATATAGTCCGTATTTTCCTGCATTGATGCACTGTACTGTATTCATATTTAAGAATGTAAAACTTAAAAGAAAGTGTCAACCATGGAGAGGTCTACAACAAAGCCCATCGTCTTCTCCACAGCAGTCTGTTTTCTGTCATGCAGTGAATAATGGGCTCTGTGTCTCAGCCTGCTTTGGCTTCCCAGCAACAAGAGCACAATCGCGATGTTGATCAAATAATCAGAAGGGAACATTTGAAACAAAGTGTCCCGAGACTCAAACATATGATTACATTCAGCAACATGAGTCACTTAAAATCCTCTTCTGTATGTTGTTAATGAGCTAGAGACTGTGCTGGGATATTTTACTGAAATAAAAGTAGCAATGCCACAGTTTAAAAATACTCTCATAAACAATTAGTTACATAGCCCTGAGAGGCAAGTTAACAAAAACCTTCTGGTGGATTTCTGTACTTTTTGTATGACTGAAGAACAACTGAAGAACAAGTAAAGAAAAGGTTTGCCAAGTCCTTTTAATTCATATGTGAAAACACATAAAGAAGAAAGCTTGGAGAAATAAAAATCACCAACATGGGATATAGTTCAATTCTGCCACATGTGGACAAAATAAGTATTACAACAACAACATATTTCCTTATATCATTTTGATACTTTTGGGATTGATCTACCAGCAAATGGGCGTTCACACAGAATATCTGTAATGTCTGTTAAATAAACAACTTAATACATAAACAACATTTTAAACAAAATGTATTTTCAATGAACTTTTACCATATGTTCATTGATTTACAATGGTACATAAACATGCATTGAAAAAGGCCCTATCATTTTACGTATGAATTCATTGCGGCACGGCTTTATCTTTTAGAAGTGTCCATATTTAATAGCATGTGTTGAAAGTGAAACTCAATTGTTTTCAACCTTGAAATATTCTATAGTAATATTTTGCGTAAATATCACCTAAATATTGTGATTTTTTTTAAAGGCACCAATATCCTTTTTCTTGTAATTTGGTGTTTCTGGCAATTTTATACTTTATACAAAAATATAAGTCTTACAGCTGAGTTTGTGCTAAAAATTCACGCATGTGGAGTGACATAAAAACAACCAGAGGGTTAACGCTTAAATGAATGAAGATAATAATATTATGGTTTATTTGTATAGCACCAAATTGCTTTACAACACTTAAACAAAAATAATAACATATAAGATAGTGATTTAAAAAGAAAATACTTATGTAGTAAGCCAGAACACACTGAATGTGTTTTGCCCTGCAAGAACTAGTCTTATTCCTGAAGAAGCTCACAAATTCTCCAAACCTCACACACACTAACCAAAAACACACACCCTCTCCATGTTTCATCCCATTCTCTACGATAGTGATCCTCTCACATGCTTCTCCAGCCTGGCAGAGCTCTCTGTTGTTGATCGATGGAAGATCCTTTCACTTTCTGTCAGCTGCAGGATGGAGGTCGGAGGTCACTCAGATATTTCCTCCTGCATCTTGTGATGTTATTTTGTCTGTTGCTGTGGCTGTTTTGCATGACTGAGTTACACTGAAAATAGTGATGTCTCTTTCTCTGTGACCTTTTCTCCCTCTAAAAACGAAACGTTCTTTGTGTTTAGAATGTATGCTATTTGTTTGTCTTTTTTATCACATGTGGATGACTGAGTCATAGTTTCTCTTTCCACTGAAGAAGGGCGGTACCGCCTGGAAAAGCTAGAGAATGGACTGTGGATAGAGATCAGAGGAGATTTGTACCATGTTAATCCGTTTATGGGAATCAGGCAGTTGTTTGAACTTATCTTTGTTTTCCACTGGTGCGACTGAATGCTATTTAGAAGTAATCAATTAATGCAACCTTCGTTTTTTTTGGGGGGGGGGGGGGGGGGGGGGGGGGGGGCTCTGGTTTATTGCCAAGTAGTTTTTCACTTACAAGGAATTAGTTTTTCTGAATAAAGTAGACATAGTAAGAGGAAAGGAAATAATTCAAGACACATAAAGAACAGAAGAAAATGAGAAAGGAAAAAATATGTCGGAATTTAAATGAAAGCTGCAGACTGAAACTACAATATAAATATGTACAAGCCTTGAATTAAAATGAAAGCTGCTATAAATAAAATAAATATGTATAGAAATGCTAAATATTTAGCTGAATTCAAACAAGAGAGCTGTGCATTTTTATTTGGAATGGTATCTATGTGTAAAAGTTTGCAAAACTGTCCAAGGAATGGGAGAACGTTCACATATGAGGTAGAAATATGCACAGAAATATAGTAAAGAGATCAATGTTAAGCATATAGACAGTAAACTAAGTCTCCGTTTGCATTCAGCGTTACTCACCTAAATGCAGTTTGTGAATCCTTGGGGCCTGACAGACCTGCTGAGTAAATTCCCCTCCTTTTTTGTGAATCACAATATTTTAATGTTTTTCTTTTTCGAACCGGACAGACAACCCATCAGATACATCATGTGGCAGCATAAGAGAGACAGGACACATGCAATACAACCAAGAATACACAATCATACATCTGAGCAGTGGAAAACACTTAAAAAGTATTATCCTGGTTGGTAAACACAGCATGTAGAGAAAACACTTAACTGGTGGATGAAAAGGTAGTTGAGTGTCACAAGCAGGTGTAAATGATTCCTGGGGATCTGAGCCAAATGTTGTCAAATACGCAGAGGTTTCAGGATCCTTTAAAGAAGGGGAAGTAATTTGACCCCTTAGCTCTATACTTCCTCACCTGGTTGGTCTAAAAGAACCACACCTGACGTGTGGTGTAATCGCCTACCACTCTGAATGATCTCTCTCCTCAGCTTTAGGGATGTCTGCCTACGCTGCAAGGAGGACTTTTAGAGGGAGACAATCACCTAAAATAGGCTTGGGCAGAATGGGATGTCTGGTTTAAGGATCAGTTTGATAATCTCATGCGGGACCACAACATACGCAGGAGTGGACCAAAGCTCTCCCTAAAGTAATCTTGAGGGAGACCAGTATACCTTGTTTCTTTCATTTTTTTCAGTCCGTACATTTAATAACATTAGAACAATATAATAAATTCAACTAGTGCAATAAGCTTCAGGCTACACATTTTTGATCAGTCTACTTTGTTGTCTTGCTATTTAAAAAAAAAAGTTGTATTGTTGTTTATTCTTGCTTGATTGCCACCTTTAAATCCGTGGAAGTTTGTTAAACCGTCAGCATACATGTTTATCTTGTCACCCACATGCACATGTGTCCTTTTGCATGATAACAGACAAAAGGCTGCTCAAAACTCACAGAAACACTTGCACCAGGGTGCTACTAGAGGTCAGAAGCTCCGTAGAGTACCTTTAAAGTGGAAACAGACAACTTTCCCCCCGAGCTGAGCTGTCTCGATGACAACCAAATCCTTTTTTGTTTTGCTGGATGAGGAGAGAAATCTTAGTGAAAGTGAGTCTTATAGGGAATTTTAACACATAAAGTAATATTATTCTATAGCCATCACAGCAATACAGGTTATCAAATAGTGAATTAAAATGTTCCCTCCACAAGTACATGTACTCTTGGCAGATGATGGCAGAAATGCTTTGACACAGACCTTATAATTAACATAATTCAATAGCAAACTAAACAAAATAAAGATTGTTGTCATCAAAATGATGTTAAGTAGATGTGGGGACCTGCACGTTAGTATTACTTTCATTACAGCATTGTTTCAGTCAATTGAAACTGGTGAAATGTTGCACGAATGTTTTCAGCCCAGCCCCCTGAGCTCTGCTCCTATTGGCCCAGCACCGCACCACGTGGTCGGGTAGTCACGCGTTTTCCAGGAACCCGTCAGGAAGAAGAAAAACAAAACAAACCCGAGAGAGAACTGTAGCAGCGTGTGGACTCCATTGAAAAAGACGGCCTTGTTATTTCCAACAGAGCAACACACAAGAGAACCGACACCTTGCGAGATGTATGCGTGGGCGCCTTAGAAGTGGGTAAGAGTGTTTTTCAGCCGTTTTAGAGGAAGTTTGCCGTGCAGATATGTGTTTTCTCTGCGGTGCAGGATTAGCTGTGAAGCTAACGACAGGCTGTTGTTGTGTGTGCAGCTGCATGAGGAAGGGGGCGGACGGAGGCCATACTGAGTGTGAGGTGCGGGGAGAAAGGCAAGCAAGATGTGTCAGTTTTCGCATTTAAAAGAAAACGGTTTAGGGCAAGATATACAATTAACGTGTATTTGAGTGAATTAAGCGTTCTGCAGGAATTGTCAACGCACAGAATGCAGCTGACGCAGGCTTCAAAACGAGTCTTAGCGCTAAATGTAAAAAAATTAAGGTCCCGCAGATTTTGTTGATATTGTTTTCGTCATTTAATTAGTCCGTTTTTTTTATCACGTTGTAACATGACATATGGTTCAAACCTACACTTCTTTAAAACGATTTTTCTCGACTTTTAAGCTATCCAAAGAATGCCACACCTCTTCCAATATTTCGGGTTTTTTTTTGGCAATGAGATTTTAGTCGGTCAAAAACACAATTTAACTGTGTTTGGGGTAAAATACCTCCTTGCAATGCCAAACAGAGAGGCTTTTAAGGAGAGCACGAGCTCTCTGTGAGGTACACGCCCCCCCCAACACATGACACAGCCATTGGTGCTGAAAAAAGAGGCTCGACACAGCCAGAAATGTCCATGAGATGAAATTTAGAAATACAGTTTAATCAATCTTATGTCTCCACTGGTGAAATAAACTAAGTATCAATATCTATATGATGTTCCTTTGTTTAGTTTTCCACCAAAACATCGTTTTATAATTGTATCTACGGACTTCGGCAGTTTCATGTTATGTATAAATGTCACGGATTGACGTATGGTATTGTGTTGTGTTCGAGTTCTTTGATAGTACTTTGTAGATTTTACGTTAAATATCTCTTTTAATAAAGCTATCTAGGCCACGGGCATGTAGGCCTCCAACTTGTTTATCTTCTGCCTCAACCTAGATTGAAAAGGGCTGATTAAAATGAAGTAGCTGCGGTGATTGACAGTCGTAGTGGCCATTCTGGAACGCCTGGAGGCGGGACCTCGTCTCTGCTCGACCAATAGGAATGAAGGATTACGTGGGTGCCGGTGTACTGGGTTAGATTGAGATTTGTTTTGCTTTCCTGAGGATCTGTGTTGAGTGCAGAGCCTGTGGATGATCTGCTAACATTTATGTCTTTTTTGGCGTTTATAATTGCTAATTTGGTATTTAAAACTACTTGTCGGATGGGGATTGTGAGGATGTTGAGATGTAGAAGTGTGTGCTGTCAGGCTGTGTTTTTTCAAAACAATTGAATCCATCACATAGAGAGTCTGGGATGTCATTATCTTTTATATTTTTCATTTGAGCTACTGTTTCTTACCTTTTTTGTGTGACTTTTTTCTACTGGCATAGTGGTTGTTTATAAGGAATTGTTAATCTGAAAGCACTATTGCTTTTATATGCATGTACTGTGTTTGTACTAAAGCTGGTCATCCATAACTATCATCTTTGTTTCAGTGTGGGATAAATATTTGTATACCATCAACATTGGCTGGTACACTGCATATCTCAAATCATCTCATGCATCAAATTCAAGGTATTTTTCCTATTATTTTCTTTACCCAAGTTCTAATTGTTACTATTATTTTCAAGATTAATTTGCAACCATGTTCATGTGTGGTTACAGTAGATGATCCAAAACTTAGAGATAACAGGAGACATTTTGAATCTTAGAGAAATAATATTAAAAAAACAAAACATGAACTGCTTGTTTATGAAAAGTAAATGTTCAAATAATTTCTAAGACACTGATATATTTTCAGTAAACTTGAAATCAAGTCAGACTTCCTCATAACTAGTAAAATATTTATTGTACTTTTAATTCCTTAACTCTGTATCATCAGTACTCCTAATTGAATGAGATTAATCGACCTTGTTCACAGTAAACATTTGGTATGACCACTCACTGTGGGACCCACTGGCTTACAGTAATCCGTCTGGAGGTTTGCAGTATTTGTGTAACAGAGCTGCAGATGACTATAACTAGACATATGATCAAAGAATACAATTCAATTGTGACATATACCTGACGATTGCTTCTCAATGCTGATTGTTTTGTATATGCTGAACTATTTAACTGAATTGAGTGTCATTGACGTAATCAAAAACACAATGAATTTACCCATCAAAGTTTGTTTAGCAAGTATTTTTAAATGCAGACCTGGATGCAGCCCAAAATAGCTACAGCAGCAATGACTTGGCTGTCTTAAAGAGCTGCAGTACTCTGGTGCAAGGGCCGCTCGGTGAACTGAAGAAAGAATTTGCACTCATAGTGCATCTTGGTGAATGAGTTGGCTGTTCTCACTAGCGTTGACCTCCAACCATAAATCTATCCAATTCATCTGCCAAGAAGAGCTTGGAGATACAACTGTAAACACTATCATGATTTGAACAAAATACTTCTAATGGTATGTACGAACCCTTTATTATAAGTCAAAACTTGAGTAACACATTTTGATTCTAGAACTATAAATACCTTGTTGATTTTAAGTTGATACACAATCGATACATAGTGAATAATATTGAACTAGCCCTACTTTTCTCGCTTGCTTGTATTTGCTTACTTACGGGCCAGTTGTACTTGTCATATAATTGGCCTGAAAAATTATCTTAAAAAAATCCCCAACCTTGAAGCACAATTGGCTGTTAGTGAACATCCATTGTTGCAAATCTGTACACACATTTTGGACTCGTGATTAATGGTTGTTCATGATGTTTTCAGAGCTTCTCTCACAATAAGCAATCTGTCTCCTGTTTGCTATTTTGCGAGAAATCTGGGAGCGACTGGTATCAGTAGGAAACTCGTTCCAGATAAGACTTGGCTGATTGGCCTACTTGGATCGAGTCCAATGTTTTGAGGCGGAGAATGTGAGCTGTTTGCATGATAGTGAAGCTTTCAGCACACTACACTCCTCTTTTTGTTTAGACCTGAAGCAACATGGAAGAAAGGAAACATTTAGCAACATATGTTGAAAATAGGATTATTTGTTGTGATTTTTTTCACCAGACCTGAGGCCTGTACTACGAAGCTGGATTTTCGCTTAGCCGGCTAAATTCAGGGAAATCTCGGGCTTTCCGGTCCTACGACGCTGGTTCTCTTTTTAGCAGGCTAGATTTCCATGGTAACTTATGCTGAGCGGCAAACCTGCTCCGGAGCAGGTTAGGTGGCAGGCTAAGAGATCAACTCAGTGAAAGCACCGCCTGCTGACCAATCAGAGCTCCGTGTGCGGAGTTTAAAGCGATCAATTCATATTCAGGGATGCAAACTTGTCACCTTTCGGCGAAATTCGCCGTTTTGATTCCAAAATAGGTCGTTTGTGTGATTCATGTAGATCTGCAATAAAAATATTTTTGGGGTATGGGACCCGGAGTAATCTGCGGCCGCGAGCTGTTATGTGCCATCATGACACGCATGGTGTTCTTTTTTTATATATTATAATGAAGCGCGAGCACAAGTCTTCCTGCCTGTCAGCTCTGCTCATGGATGTATAATAAGGCTCTGCTGCTCCGGGATGAGGGTCTAGCTTCAGCAGCTACATTACCTACGGTGCGTTCGTTAATATTAACTGTGCGGGCACAGACTGGACGGCTGGTTAGAACGGGGTATTCAGAGCAGAGCTCCCTGTCGGAGTGGCAGAGCGTGATGTGCACTGAAAAGTGTTTCTGTCCCAATATTATTTAATGAATCGTTGAGCTAGCTAACTAGCATACATGCATTCAGATCTTGTACTTGAGTAAAAGTAGAAGCACTCAGGTCTTGTACTTGAGTACAAGTAGAAGTACTCAGATCTTGTTCTTGAGTAAAAGTAGAAGTACTCAGATCTTGTACTTGAGTAAAAGTAGAAGTACCAGAGTGTAGGAATACTCTGTTACAGTAAAAGTCCTGCATTCAAAATGTTCCTCAAGTAAAAGTAGAAAAGTATTATCATCAAAATATAGTTAAAGTAGCGACAGTAAAAGTAGTCATTGTGCAGATTGGTCCATTTCAGAATAATATATATGATATGTTTTATAATGATTGATCATGAAGGTGTTCTCAAAGCTGGTAAAGGTGCAGCTAGTTTGAATGACTTTGTATACTGCAGGGTAGCTTGTGAATTTACTCCAGGTGGAACTAAAGTCTGATTTAACACTTGATTAGATTTCACATCATTCATCCACATCTGTGAAGTAACAAAAGGTATTAAATACATGTAGTGGAGTCAAAGTACACCATTTACCTCTGAACTGTAGAGGAGAAGAAGAACAAAGTAGCAAAACATTGAAATACTTAAATAAAGTACAAGTATCTCAAAATTGTACCCAAGTATAGTACTTGAGTTTATGAACTTAGTTACTTTACACCACTGGCTATAAAGATAGAAAGACAGCCTTGCACAGAGGCATGAAAATACATTTTCAAAATGCTCAACAGTCCTGCCAAAATTATAAACTGACTGCTACACAATTAAAATAAATGCTTAAATATATTTCTATTAGATGTGACTCTTTGGCGTTTCTGTTATTATTAACTGCTGCTTTAGTTGTTCTGACTGCTAAAATCCTCTGTTATTCCTCATTTTAAAGCCGATATTCCGTGGGGTCGGGGGGCTCGGATCCTTGTCACCTTTTTCATACCTGATGAGTTTGCATCCCTGCATATTACAGGATAGAGGAAATACAGAAAAACTGCCGTTGCAGGAAAGACGGCCGTGAAAATTAATAGAATATCCCCTCCCATCTTCAGAGCAATCTGACTATTATAATATTAGCGTTAAGAAAGCTTACTTAAATATCTGCCACGACATAAGTAACCGGATCAGAGTAACATTAAGTACAGTCCGCGGCACTGTGAGTGCAGACGTCGATGTGTCCCATTATCATATCACATCATAATGTATCATATATTTCCTTATTTGAGTCAGCTTCTTGAGCCGTATCTGGCCGTGCAACACTCACAGTGTCACATACTGTATGCAGAAGTATTATTTTAAGCAACACATTAAGTTGACGAAACACTCGAGTCAAATGTAATTAAAGTCAGATCCACTCGTGTCTTGGACGGGGCAGTGATATCATAAACCTGTTAATGTACGCATTCAAACGCTTTTTCTTTTACCAGCTGTATTCACCTTGCAGGTGCAGCTATGTGGCTTTTATCCTGGATAAAGTGTTTAAGTCATGGATGTTTAAAGTTTAACTTCTTCATATTTGACTAATATTAAAGTTCACTTTTCATTCAGGAAGTATGACGCTGCGCTGTCAGTACGCTTGTCCGTGTTTGAGATTGGTCGAATGCTCCAAATACCACCCCTTTCATGTGAACGCGCACCTAACTAGATAGGACACGGCTGGCTTGAGCGATCCACTTGATAACCAGCGTCGTAGTACAGTTTAGCGCCAGCGCGTATGTTTTGGCTTAGGCCAACCGGCTAACTCCAACATATCCAGGTTAGGTTGAACCAGCTTCGTAGTACAGGCCTCTGGTTGTGTATAAAATATTTAACAATATTGATGACTGGGAAATTATGTTTTCTTCATTAAATTAGACCTCAAGCTAATAATTACTTTCATTAAAGATTAATCTATTGATTTAGTTATTTAATAAAATGCTCGCGTAGCAAACTACCAAAAACCCACATTTATAAAAGTATGAAGCTTCACATCTCTCAGTTTTTAGATGTAACCAGCTGCAAAGTTTTTTGCTCTAACTAATGAACTGTGAACCATTTAATTGTCAACATTGCATTACAGTTTACTTTCCGCGACTGGATTCATTTGTTAATCCACTATAACAAGCATGGTGAAACACCTTTTATTTTATCTGTCAGATAATACTGCTACCCCAGCTGATGCTGCAAAAAAACAGAGCCGTTGTCCGTGTCTTGATCTAATTGTAAACAGCCGCAGGTGTGAACCTGACATTGATTCAGCAAACCGCACATTTGTAGGAAACATGATGCTGCAAAGAAATCTGTCCTTTTGAGAAACTTTGGCCTCTTCAGTTTATCTATCCTGAAAAATAGGCCTTGAGGAAATCTGAAATATTGAACTCTGACAAAAGCTGCAGCTAATTATTATGTTCATTATGCATTCATCTGCTGATTACTTTCTAGATTATCTTTTTGCTTTAATGCAGAAGCCCTCAACATTTGAGATAAACAGCATTTATAGCCATTTTCCCATGAAAGTTGATCAAAATAGTCTCATATGTGATTAGCCGACTAATCATCATTGAAGCTGTACTTTGACATAAGCCCACCTTTTTAAACCTTGACTCCAACCCAAGTAAAGTCCCTTAAGTAAAATAACTCAAATGAAAGATGTACTGCCGGTAGTTTTCATCACCAAAGTAAATCAGACCAAAGCCTGAGAGAGACATTCAGCTCCTGTCTTTCAGGGGGCTGTCGCGCTCGGTCATACATATATTGCTCCACATTGCATCCTGTGTTAGCCACTAAGCAGTGAGTTGGATGACATGAAATCATGCTGCTGCAAAGTATTCAGTGGAGCTTTGCCTGGAGAGGTGAGGAGCGTCGCAACTTGTTTGTACGATCACTGTTTGTACACTTAGGCCTTCTGCTGCCTCTGTGATAGGAAAGAGTCTGGATCAATGCTGGCGTTCACTGTTGTGATCGGGCCATTCTGCTTCTGATACTAGTACACCAGACACAGCTGCCCTGGTGGGAAGTGGAAATTGAAAAAGCACGATAATGATCACAATTTGTAGTTTAGAGGCTGAGATTTAAAATATACTTCTGGTCCTTAAGAGAGTTTGTTAGTACATATATCATTTTGTGCATGCATATACATGAGTGCTTTTATGTGCTTTGGTGTTTGATAAGGTGTTGCTTTTACAAACACGCTTGTACTCTTCCTGTACCAATGTGTTTTCTGACACTTCCTGTCTCTATGCAAAATGTGTTCCCACACATGGGGGACAGATCTCAGGGGTGAGAAGTTCATCTGAGTCGGTCAGCACCCAATGAGAGGAAGTGATGTTGTCCCCTCGGCCTCGGAGGAGTGGGATTGGTGTACGGTTGTGTGTCAGCTGTTCACTGCAGGGGTCATGTCTCCATGCAGATTCTCATTTATTTGCTATGCAAAGCAGCAAAAAGGCCCAGAGAAAAGATCAGTCCAAGCGTTGCAGTCAGTAGGAGGTGCAGGAAAGTGAGAGGATGAGAAACAAGCAGAGAATTAGAGGAGGGTCCAAGTGATGGTAAAGCATAACGCAAACAAAACAAATCCGATGCTCTCTGAAGGATGGTGAGAGGCACTTTGGTTCAGATATGTCGGTGCTTTCCGAACATGTAATGGGGGCGGGGACTGGCGTTCACACCAAATTTCTCAGAGGCTTATTCTCTCAACAACTTCCGGCAGCTGCTGGGTAGACAGAGAGCTCCTGTTACCTGCGCTTGCAAGTTCGGTCTGTTGATTAGACGAAGAGACAAGGAAGAGTAAATCCGGACCAATATTAACAGATTCGTTAATGCCAGACACCCCATCTCTGCCTTTGCACCATGAACAGTTCTAAAGAGACTAACTTTATTTCATACCTGAAAATGTCAGTTGATTAATCAGTTAACCAGCAACAATTTATCATCTGTTGCTGAAGTCGTTGTACTCGCATAATTGTGAATATTGGTTGCTTGATGCTGTTCTATATCATTGCAAACTCAATATATTTGGGTTATGGAATGTTGGTTGGGAATAACAAGACATTTGAAGACGTCATTTGGGGGTCTCTGGAAAAAATGTTCAAGCTTTTCTGAAATTTTGTAGACATATGACGTATAGCTTAATCGATAACAATTTGTCAATATCCCTACGATCTACCTAAGTTAAACGTGAGCCAGCCCCTTAGTCAAGCCCAAAGATAGCTTGCTAACCCAGGCCTCATCGTACAGGCCCCAGGTCAGTAGTATATTTGTGTCGGTGAACGCAGTAGTGGACGGGAGGGACAGGAAAGATGAGATTACGATAGCTCGGCTCGGTGCTGTGTTGACTTCAGGTCCAGCTCTAGAGATGGAGGCAGAGAGCCCAGCCTCCTATCCAGCTGTTATCAGTAGACAGGGGGGGCCGGAGGCAACAGTTTTGCATTTTTAGCAGCACTGGGACATGTTTACCCTTTATGTCTTCCTCTAAAGATACAGAACCTGTTTATGTGACAAACACAGACCTGGCTGTTTCATTGCTTAGTAGACTTTAATATGAAGAAGAGCGTACTTTTCAAAAACCTAAAGGGGAATTCTACGTAGTTTCACTTGTGCTCACTCTGCAAAAGTGACTAGTTAACATCTGCAGTCCATCGGGGCGGTGATGAATTAGCTTTGTTGAACTGTGAGATAGTGAAACCCTTCATTTTCATTTAAGAGAGGGTGAGATGTACCCCTCGCTGTTGTGTTATTGCCTGTTTATGCCCTTGTTTATGCAGCTGCATGGTGAGACAGCAGAGAGGGAGAAGTTCTGCATAGCTGGCAGTGAATGGAAAGACAGTGTTAATAAATAATGGCAATTAAGTGTTTATTGAAAATGGTTTATATTGTTAGCCTGCTACCTATTATACCTATTATTTTTGCAACCATACCAGCACCTATTTGCTATCCCAGCTGCATTTCCATGAACATTGGCCCTTCAATAGTGTTTTATTTGTCAGTTAGTTTATAGATGTTTTTATCTTCACAATCTACTGTATATTTTCTACTCTCTAATGCCGGTTTATTTCTATTTTGAGATGTTTCTACTCTTTTTTTTAAATGTCTTATTTGCAATGCCTTGGGTTGTTAAATCAGCCACAAAAAAATCAACTTAATAGAAGAAGTTCTATACGTGTAGTACATTTTTGCAAACCACAAATAAAAGAAACTGGCTGACTGAGTTGTTGCTACCATTTACATTTACTTGACTGGTTGAAGTAGTTCTCACCATATAATTCAGAGAGGCAAAAATGATTATCCCTAAAAATGACTTTGTATACAAGAAAATGCACATAAACAAATAAGAGTTGAATCTCGCTCAACTGTCCCTTCCAGGTCTCTTTAAGTCAAGATGGTGATGAAAACAGGGAATTTAGTCTCATATTGTGCCTAACTTTAGTGGATCATAATATATTGTTTATGTCTTCTGGTTAAAAAATCAACCAAACTTTTCTATGCATGTCAATTTCTGAGACGCAACAAAGGCCATAATCTGGCCTGCTTTATAGCCTGCCATAGATACTGGGGGTGGGATAAATAATCTCCATCAAATCCAGTTTAGCCATTTAAAGTCTGTAGGCCTATTGCAGTTTGGTGGGAAACAAATAAACTCTTCAGCTGTGTTGGAAATGTACCTGCATGTTACTGTTGACTTATTTATTTGTTGATTCTTATACCTCTGCTCTGTCTACTCTCTGTTTTTACCACAGACCTCAAGCATACAGAGAACAGCAGATCACAAGAAAACAGACCAGACCAGGCCCAAATACTGACATCCCCCCTTTTCCTCTTTCCCGCAGCCTTGCAGGCTGCATTCACAACATCTTGTCCTTTAGCAGTAATTTACTGTGCTAATCCAACAACCTCAGACCACTGGGACTGGACAGAAGGCCCCAGAGATCCCCCCAGCTAAAGCTCTTGGCTTTGCCTGGCAATGCCTCAGGTAAGAGGGACCAAACAGCAAAGAGGGAAACTGTACTGTCACTAGCAAACAGGTTTCCTCGTGAACAAATTCATAAATGATTAATGATACTCGGTTATTAGAGTGCAACAAATAAAAGTTATCTAAGAAAAGATAAATACAATACTGAAATCAAATAAGGAGCAACAGATGGGAAAATAAAAAAGGAAGAACCAAGTATATTAGAAATTGGTTTTGGTGATGATTACTTTCATTATTTACTTTAGTGTTTATTTATTTATGTTGCGTTGCAGCCCAGCATCATTGGGATGGAGCCTCCCTTTGCTGACGCATTTCAGAACTACTCTTTTGCTGACCAGGCCCTCACCAGCACCGACCTGCTCGCCTCCAACTCTGACCCAGATTTCATGTATGAAGTGGTGAGTGGTTAAACGCACGCACGCACACACACAAACACAAACACAAACACACACACATACACACAATTATGAAACTAATATTAGAGCTTATCTTTAGCTAAAATGCCCTGCGTTCATCAGACTTGGTCTACCGTCCTTTGAGCGGACTCCTTTTAGATCGCTCACAGCTGCTCACGCTGAGTTGACTCTGAGTTGCATCTGAATGAAGGATCCAGGTTTCAAGATCATCCGTCAAAATCCAATACCCTTTTCTTAAGGCTGGCGTCACACTGTTCCGAAATTGACACCAGATGGACACACGAATATGGAATTGTGAATTTCGCACGAAGATGGCCCCGAACTTGGTCAACAGTCAAGTAACAGCCGAAGCAAGTACGATGCCTACAGAAGGCCACACGATGGCACCCGAACCACACACGAAGGCAACACGAAGATGTGAATTTCTATAGTAGTTTATACCCGCAGGACACACGAAGGCCACACGATGGCTACACGACATTGTATTGAGAGTACGATGCGTTCAAACTAGGTCACGAAGGCGTCACATGACCTCCCGATGGTATTTACATAATATGTTTACATGATTTTGTTGTGCAATTAAAATAACCAGATAAGCGATCTGCAAGGAAACATAGCACACCGTGTCCTCATGCTCCTGTTTCACCTGCTTAATACAGGTATCAAAATAGCAAGAAATGACCATTTTTACCTGTAAGAGGAGGTGCTGGGCCTGTAAGAGTTGCTCATCATGTTGCCATTCTGAAGGAACTGAATTGTGATTAATTGTGATTGAAGCTTTGGGAGTTACACACGCCTCTGCTCTGTAGAGTTGCTCAGGACTGACTGAGGAAGATGCTCTGAGGCTGGCCTTTTATATGTCCACGTTACCATGACACATGGGACACGTTTGAGCTACTCAAATTCGGCTGTCTTCGCCAACACCGTGGTCCCATCTCGATGTCATCGTACTATAATACGATGGCTACACGACGGCATTGCGAGGGCTTCACGTAGTCGTGTTGCCTTCCTAAGACAATCGGGCAGCTTCTTGTTTCCTTTGTATTGTCTTCGTGAGGCGAAAAATGCCCGATGGCACCGATGATCACACGAAGTAAAGACGAAGATGACACGATTTGACAAGATGCCCTCACGATGGCCTTTACGAAGGGCAAAATGGACACACGAATTCAACACGAAAATGAACCTTCGCAAGGTCTTTCGGCAATTTTTTAGCATGCCAAAGATTTGGCCACCGCTCACGAAGTTGCTGCCGGAGCCTGAGAAACTCCACCGGCGGTCATACGATGGCTTAAGATGCCCTCACGAATGGCCCGATGTTGTTACGATCAGAGCCGAATTTGAACATTTCCTTTATCGTGTGTCCATCTGGTGTCAATTTCGGGACAGTGTGACGCGGGCTTAAAGAAGCGACTAAAATGCAGCAATGTAAGAAATATAGAGGAGATACCAGACACCTTATCGGTAATTCTAACTGGAATCTCTGTAGTCTGAGGTTAAGATTAACGTCTACGTTCCTGCCTTTTACTGTGAAACACCAGTAGAAAATGTGGTAAGTATACTACAAAGTTAGGGAAGCTTTGTTTGAGTTGCTATTGTTGAATATAAACAGGTCTGCACACCAAGATTAGCACATCTTCTGGTTTATTTAGTGAGTAATGATCCGTTTTAAATACTGCAGGGAGGAGTAGTAAAAGCAGAAACTCCCACAGTTGGATGAAGAGCTGCAGACTCCTAATGTGGTTTTCAAGATTCAGCACACCTCCTACACCTCATTAACAGCTTCTTATACCTTGCTATGCAGTTCAGTGGAAAAACACTCGCACCGTTGTCAGCGTTGCTCGAGTGGTCACAGTTACTCACAGCTCGGCACAAGTAACCCCACCCGTATAAAAAAAACACGATCAAGTTACATGTTGCACAACAAGCTCCACAAAAACACCAGAGAGAATTCAAAGAAGAGTAAGTCATGCTGTGATGTTTTTTGTTCATTATAAATAAGCATTTTGCAACATTTAAATACGTACAAAATGTCCGCTGTGCCTGGTAATCACCGGAGAAAACATGCACTTTAACCATTTTGAGAGTAGAAGTAAATGAAGGGTTCATTTATATGTCCTTTTAATATGTTAGTGAAGTGCTGGACATTTTTTGAGAATTAAAAACAGGTCTTCTTCACTAATATCAATATTAACAATAATATTAAAATACATTCCCTCGCTGTCATAGTCATGCTAGTGGGGAAAACAGTGTGAATTTAAATAAAATGTAAAAAAACGCTTGTGGCATTTAAAACGGAGAGGCCCATGCCTAATTGTTTATCAGCCGTGTGACATTTGCCGGGCTCACAGGTGGCTGATGGGAGACGGCTCCCCTGTCACCCTCACCCTGGGTGTTTCTCAATGTCGAGTAAAGCTGCTCCAAAGCCACTATTTCAAGCATACTACATCATCGAGTGGCGCCGAAGGACTGTTTAAATGCCCAGCATACATGTGTTACCAAGCAAGCCTCCTCGACATTGAGAAACAGCCCTCGTCCCCCTCACCCTGTCAGCTGCAGGTGTCTGCCTTAATTTACCATCAGCTGTAGTCAAACGAAAGTGATTCACCGCTGCACTCAGTCCATTTCTTACACCATAGAACATAAGACGTTACTGTGATGACAGATTTTTAAAAGGATCTTCTCCTGTTAGTTTAGATATGTTAAGATATGGAAAAGAAAGAAAGATTTACATAATATAATGGTTAAACCCTTCTGACTGAAAACACATGAGACATATTGACACATCTGAGCTCCATGATGACAAGAAGACAGCGATATAAAGTCAAAAGTGCAATTATCTCTGCCAAATTGTCTTTCTCGCCATGTAGAAAACTAACACTCACTGCCTGTAGCACTTCGGGATTTGAATTCGAATATGAAGTGCTTTATAAATGGAACCCATTATTATTATTATTATTAACACTTCACCAGAGTTTCTTTATATAAAATGACAAGGGCAATCTCGCTGTACTGTGTGGTACAGTTAGTTCCTGGAAGATCGGCTGAGAACTGTATATTACTACAATAAACTAAACAAAAGGTTTTTTAACTCACACTGAATTACAAATCCTTTCAAAATAGTGTCTCATTGGTGCAACATTAATTCCAAATGTAATAATCCTAAAATCAATCCTATCATTTCTAATACTATGCTGTTGCTTGTCATATTTCCAACCCTAGATGCCCTCTAGACAAAAAAGGTCTTGCACAATATTAAAATATTATCAGCAAAATCAATGGTTTGACATGGACACGTCTTTTATAACCTTCGTACATTGTCAAATTCCCCCAATATTTTATATATATCTTTTTTCTTTGATGCCGTTCAAATGTAAACCGTCTTATTTTCTGTTCTATATTCTGTTACTTTGTTGTCAGTTATTGCAAACACCTCTTTTAAATATAATTTAGATATAAACCGTCTTCTGAGCCACCAGCTGCTGACTCCCTCCATGTTTTCCTCTCTGCAGCAGGACAGAGACGTCACCCACCGACAGAGCCCCTCCAGCGACAGCTCCGGAGTGGGGGGCGATGGGGGGAAGGATGTGGAGGGCTGCGTGGACCAGCTCATGGGTCTGAGCGAGAGCGAGACGGTCCACAGCAGCTCAGCGTTCGAACAGTGGGACTCCTACTGGGAGGACCTCACCAGGTAATGGATTATTTATTCATATGCTGTGGCTTATATATCGAGTGAAAAGCAGCAGCAAGTAAATATGACGTAATTATACAAATGAATTCACTGAAACTTAAATGTCATACTGTTTTTCACATCTCACACATTTTAAAAGTGGATTGCCAACAATTTTGGATTCTACATTTTGTGCCTTTTAATAGCATGGTATTGATCAGAAACAGGAGGTTGGGTTAAGGGTCCACAAGACTTGTCTGTTTTTAAAGCTGGAGTGAGGAACTTGCAGGGCCGCCCCTCCCTACACGCAGGGGTCTCACCTCGCGGAGGGGGCCTAATCTTGCGGATGGTGCCTCACCCGAAGCGCAAATGCGGCGCACCTCTATGCGCTTATGCGTCGCAATTACTGTAAGCGAGCCACAGTTTTTGCCGCTGCGAGGCTCCGGCGCGTGCTCCACTAGAGCCCCCCCCCCCCGTCGACGCTCGCGTCACAGAGGGCCTCATCACATAACTTTGCGTGGGGCCACAAGTTGGCCATTACACGCAAACCCTCGCCAAATGAGGTCACCTAACGCTGCTTGAGCCTGGTTGAGAAAACTCTGTATTTTGAACAATAGCAGCGTTGTGGTGTTTTGCGTCTGTGGAGACTTCCCATCACTGGTGAACCTCTCTCTGCATCCCCCCCCGCCCCCCTTTTATTCTTAAATCCTTCCATTGGATCCCAAATTGTTTTAGTTTTTTTTTTTTAAATCTAGAACATGACTTCCAGAATATTTGCTTCTCGCACCGCCAGAGGGGGGATACAAAGGTCCCGCACTCAAGCTTTAATGGGCGGCAAGTTACTGGAAATTCCCCAAACCAGCGATGTATTAACCACACAACTTTTGTCTGTTCATCCAAAGCCTGACATTACTATCTATAGCGCTTTATTATTGTTTAAAAACTCAAAGATAAGAATGGTCAAAGGTCACAAAACACACATGTTTTTGGCCTGACTGAATTCATATGCTAATTGTGAACATTTTACACAATTGTTTAATAGGATTAAATGATGTCAGTGATGACATTTTGGACAGACATGGATGTAAACTGCATCTTGACTGGTTGCTGAAGGCTGTGGGACGGTAATTTTAGTTGCTTGATAACGTGATTAATTCATTATTAGAATTGTTGTAGATTTCTTTTAAAGCTAATAATCAACCTATTGTCGATGAGTTAAATTTAAAAGGTTGTATGGTTGAGGTTGCAGAGTCGATCTGTGCGAAAGGACAGGTGCCTAAACGTTTTTAAAGTATTGCAGTTCACCATTCCAGACCAGTCATCATTGAGGCAGATCAGGGTGGTTTGAGGCAGCTAGAGTGTTGCTGGATGGCAGGGAGTGGTTTAAGATGTCAGTAAACAAACCAAGCAGCTGGCTGCCGCAGTCTCCTGAGATCTCAGGTGATGCTCCGTCTGTCCTGCAGATATCCTGATGCTCCGCTTTCAAAATAGTTTGTGCACTCTCTCCTCTGATGCACAGTGTCAGCTGAGGTTAGACGACCACTTTTGGAGTCTAGAGGTGGATAATATTGAGGTGGAATAGCGCAACTGGCTGCTGCAGGGTAAGAGGGTTGAAAGTTGAGGAAAGTGCCGTTTCCTTTTGGTGATTGAGTGAGTCATTTCTTTACAACTGTCAAGATTAGCTCCACGCTGCTGCTATGTCGCTCAAATGCATACTGTGTTAATGGGTAAGTCTTATTCTGTGAAGTATAATGTACCTTCGCTCCTTACTGTTGTTTTACCCAACAATCTGGTGAAAAAAATGTAGGCAGTGTCTATGAGTGTCAAAACTGTCACTGAAAGATGTTGTGCTTCCTCTGAGCTCTCTTTTGATCACTTTAATGTTTTGACTGCCTTCAGGTTTTAAACACTTATTCTAAAAGGTCAAAATCCTAAACAGATGCAAATTTGCTCTGGTTTTCATTGAGGCACATGTGCATCAATCAGACCTGCAATATACTTTGCTCTCATGCTAAATCCATGCCATTGCAATTTTGAATTAGTGCAGAAGGTATGTTGAGATCTAGGGCTGCAACAAACAATCATTTCCATTGCTTATAGATCTCTCAAATACTTTGTCCATTCATCGATCACTGAAAAAAACATTGTTTTCCAGAGTCCAAGATGACCAAAAAAGGTTTATAGTTTCATTTTTTTAAAGGTAATTTACAATGACAAGACAATGATAGCTTTCCTGTTGTCTGAACTGTGTTGCTCTGTGCTCGGCAGATACACACGGCTGGCCAGCTGTGAGATCTGGGGCAACAAAGAGGTGGATTTCCTCGGATTGGATGACTTTTCTAGTCCCTACCAGGATGAGGATGTGATTGGTCAAACCCCGACCCTGGCTCAGCTCAACAGCGAGGATTCGCAACCTGTGTGTGAGGCGCTCTACCCCCCTGCTGATATGAGTGGCCCTCCACTTCCCGGTCACAGTAGGAGACCCCTGATCCCTGGCCAGGGATTTGGCCCCGGCTCAGCACGGCCCTCCCCCAGCTCCTCTTCCCGTCTTTCCCGCAGCTTTCTCCCAGACTTTCCTGAAACCTCCCAAAAAGCCACCAGACCCGTCCCCTCCAGCACCGAGACCATGGCCAAGACCCAGACCCTCCTCAGCCTCACCCAGGACTACGGCCATGCGCATACCAAGCCTTACGGCAGAGGAACCAAGATGGCAGCCCCGATGGACTTTGTGCGGAAGGCTAAAGTCCGTGTAAGTGCCGGGCTTAAAACTCAGCCCGACATGCCCTCCCAGACGGCCTTTGAGAGGTCAAACCCACCTCCACCGCTCCCCCAGTCCCATGACGGGATGGCCGGCCCCTCAGCGAGCGCCATCTTGGTGGTAGTTCCTGCTGCTGCAGACAGCGGCTTTGGCTGCCAGATGATCTATGAGAGGGCCGCAGAGGGGGGAGGGAAGAAGGAGGTTCCTGTAGATTGGTCTGCCAGCGTCCCCCCCCCTGGTCGAGGCCAGTCCGGCCATGGAGGGCAGCACCTCTGAGCAGGTCAGCGGAGAGGTGGAGGCAGGAGCTAGTGGGGGTGCTCTGGATAAAGAGGCCACTGAGAAGAGCAAGGAGGAAGAGCACAACTACTCTCTGTTCCTCACCCGCTGCAGACTGGCCAGCAGAAGCCAGTCCGTGCTGGAAGAGGACGAAGAAGAGGAGGAGGAAGACGAGGAAGAGGCGGAGGAGGAGGAAGGCGATGGGCTTGAGATGGATGACGAAGACCACGATGAGGGTTTCGGCAGCGAGCACGAGCTGTCTGAGATGGAGGAGGAGGACGACGATGAAGAGGAGGATGAAGACTACGAAGCTGACAAGGACGAAGACATGAGTGACGCCTTCTCCGAGCCAGGTAGCAACCTTCATGCTTTCGGTGTTACCAACAAACTGTCATTGTCAACAAACTGTCATTGTTACCTTTCTGTGTTTCTTCCTCATGACTTTTCTTTCTCTGTCTGTCCCCCCCCCCCCCCGGCTCTGATGTCTTGTTTTCTCCAGGTTGTGAAATGGAGCTAATGGACGACATTAAAGGTCTGACGACGGGAGTCACCACCCGGAAGAGAGGCAAGCGTCGCTACTTCTGGGAGTACAGCGAGCAGCTCACCCCCTCCAAACACGAACGCATGCTCAAGCCGTCTGAGTGGGACAGACACACGCTGCCTAGCAACCTGTACCAGAAGAACGGGCCTCTCCATGGTAAACACACACACACACACACACACACACACACACACACACACACACACACACACACACACACACACACACGTACGGTACATATATACTGTATATTAACCACGGTGGGAGAGAAGCCCTGCACCAAAAAAAGAGCTTATTAGATAAAACAATATATATCACTGCTTTGATCACGGACTAAACATATATCATATTTGCCTCTTGTAGAGACTGTAGGGGAGTTTATATTTTCCACAGCATGCTGCAGTGATATAGCAGTCAAAGTGATCTTACTTGAAATATTGAACAGATAAAAGGAGCATGTCTAATTTCTAACTTAAACGACATATGATGTAAATCATCTGATAATCCTTCTTTTCATTGTATATCATAAAGGAAAGTACATGCTGAAGAAGTCTCGCCGCACGGACGTGGAAGACCTGACTCCCAATCCACGGAAGCTGCTGCAGATCGGCACCGAGCTCCGCAAACTGAACAAGGTGATCAGCGACCTGACCCCCGTGAGCGAGCTGCCGCTGACCGCACGACCTCGGTCACGCAAGGAGAAGAACAAGCTGGCATCCAGGTAAGTCATGCATTCATGTACAGACACATCGTGCTGACCCGCAGTTCATGAATTATTAAAAGGTGGTCAAGATGCTGACGCGACACATCTGTTGTGTGTTGCAGAGCTTGTCGTCTGAAGAAGAAGGCTCAGTATGAGGCTAACAAAGTGAAGCTCTGGGGACTCGGCACAGAATACGGTATACGGCTTACACAGTTTTTACACCAATTTCATCAACATCTGCATCCATTTTTTCATGCTTTCTTATTCTGTATATCTACCTGCACTTATTTTTACGATTTTTGACATTCCAAATCGACCTTCTGATCGTTAAAAATGACTAAATATCAACAACTTCTAAATGCTAAAGTGCTCGACCACATGTCCTCCTGTAGACCGGCTCCTGTTTGTGATCAATGCCATCAAGGAGGAGATAGTTGCCCGAGTGGAGGACTCTACTCCGCGTCCGACCAACATGGCCGACACTCTGGAGCATCTCATCAAAGAGACACTCGGTGAGATTAAAATGAATGATTTAACTTAATTTAAATGAATGCTTTTTACAATAATATTGTGCCCTGTCTGGATAAAAAAAAAAAAACATCTCTAACATCTCTGAATGTGTCTTCCTGTGTCTCTGTGTGTGCAGTGGCATCACCTGTTGCTGGGCAGACTTCAGACTTCGTCAACAAGATCTTGGAGACCACCGGACGCGGCGACCCCACCGGAGGGCTGGTCGGCCTGCGAGTCCCAACCTCCAAAATCTAAACACACTGCAGTCCACTGAGAGACGTGTGCTAAATATTACCACCGTGCTGTCCCATTGTAACTATGCCCCCCCTCTGCATGCCCCTCCAGCCCAAAGTACATACACATTGTTAGTCACACAAACACACATACCACTCCCTGTGTGTATGTATGTGTGTTTGGCATACACCCTAGCTTAATGTCTCTGCACACTGCGAGTCAGTGCGTCACTGTCCCCCAACCCATTGTGAGTGTCTGTTGGGATAAGCGCCTCTAAAAGCAAGTGATGGTCAGGTGTATATCTAATGGCACGTGCGGAATCCACTGGGGATTATTAGATGCGATGTGCATATTGTTGTGTAGGGTCCGTTTTATTGGAGGTCTGCTTTCAGGGCTGAGACAGTCACACGAGTGTAACCACTGGAATACTTCGTTTGAGGTTGTATAACAAGAGGAAGAATAGTTTCAAGTCAGACACCATCAAAGGTTTGAAAAAGTTCCAGTTATCATTTCCTCCAAGAGGGTCACCTTACATGGCAACAAATATGAACTCCAGAATGAAATTAAGATCAAATTGACCCATTCATTATGGCACTTCGATAAAAACGGCTTTGGTTGCCAACAAAGCTGCAGAGAGAATAGTTTGTGTGCTCCGAGGCGTTTTCGGGGTGGCAGGAAATATTTTGTATTGAAGGCCTAAATACGTTCATGCCATCCCCTGTTTGCCAATCAGGCCTGCTGTTGTTAAAATGTAGGAGTTAACTTTAAGCAAAATAAAGCTCGAAAAAAACCAGCTGAAGCCTAAAGAATTTAAAATGAGAGGCTTCATGGCTTATTTTGACTACGATAACTTAAACAACAGGAGGTAGTTGACCATATTCAGAGGAAGTTGATGTAGTTTGGTGCTTTTTGGCCTTGTGCTGGTTATAACTGGACTGGGTAAAACGGGCATTTTGCCAGAATGGGAGCAGACTGTGAGGATGATGATGATGGTGAGGGTGAAATAATCCATCTCCTCTAGGAAACTGTACATAAAAGCGTCTCCCACTGAAAAAAGGCACAGGCTCCCCTTTTTGTACCGTAGAGATGACCAGGCTAACAGTTTGGTGTGTTCATACTAGTGTTTGATCAGAGTTCTATTCATTGTGCCTTGTGTATGTGTGTGTTTCTGTAGTCTGAGTGAGTGTGTGTGAGCGGGACTGAACGAGAAGAGATGATTGGTCAGAACTCCCTGAGGTCCAGCCAACGAGGGGACTACTTAACACTGAGGGAGATTGTTAATGAATGCGAGGAGGGGGACAACTGCAGAGTTTTTCAGTTGTCTAAAGATTTCCTGAATGTACATAAAACAATAGGAAGCTCTCGTTGCGTCATGCCACAGAGTCTGTGTGTGTATATAAGAGAGCTCTGCAATGGTTACTTTTGTTTTTTGGTACTCTGTCTTTAGGGATGTGGGCGGGGGGAGGGGTTAACATATTATTTGTTTAGAGTCACAAAAAAAATATTTGCACACTATATTTTGATTGTTTTTTGTACCAAAGACACATGCAACGAAATGGCGACCAGCCAGTTAAAGTAAGGTTTTGCACAGCTTACCTGACGCCGTATTGAATGTAAGAAATGTGGGAGGGTCAGGGAACTTCATAGAACTGTGAAATTAGCTTGGGTCCAATTCTGTACAGAAAAGGAGCATTTAATCATTTCTTTAAATCTGAAAATGTAACCCATCTATGGGCTTCTCCAGTAGATGTGTTGCTTTGCAAGCACGTCATTCCTGAACTGATTCCTCCCTCCACGTGCTAATTGTTTTATAGGTGCTATTTTAGGACATAAACCAAGAGCGCTAGTAGATAAGCTATGTTACATTTTTGTTTGACAAATTGTCACCAAGAATAACCAAAATGTTTTGTTCCTGTTGTCACTTGTTTGATTTCTGTATGTAGTCGAGGTTTATTTCTTCAACAAAATATTAATTTTGCTATAAAGTACTGTAAATAGAAACCTTAATGCTATATCTATCAATGGTGGAATGCCACTTTTCATGACAATTTATTAATTTTTAAGCATGACACATTTCTAAAAAAGCCTATCCTTGCATTGAGAAAGTTGGAGGAAAAAAAAACACAAAAACCAAAAAAAGTTTTTGTTATATTTTTGTACTTTAGCTGCCTGTTAGCTTCCCTGTTTGGAAGTATTTGTTCAGTGGAAAGGAGATGTGGAGATAAAGAGGTTTTTAAGAGCACCCAGTCGATCTCAAAGTTTGATATTTAAAACAACATTTAACCAATGGGTCTCCTTTGCTGGCTGAGGGAAATACAGAGGATTATTCTAATCACAGTGCAGCGAAGACATGGTCCAGAAGGAGCTTTGAGGACAACAGCAGGGAAGTGTGAGGAAAGTTTCTGTAAGAAAGCCAAAGCCATTTGAGTCTGATTAATCTTGGTTCAGTACTGTGCAATGTCCTTCAGATGTTCGCAAGTTTTCACTCTTTCACCATGAAACTGGTTGAATTTTACATTTCCTGGGATTGGAGGCCTTTGAGGTTGCAATACTGAATTATATCTTCCTTAGTCCTTCCTGACCGTTCACAGCAGCGAAGAATAACTTTTTTTTAAGGCAAAACCGAGAGTTACAATATCCTGGCCTCAAAGTGTTCAGCATGTCCAACCTCTAGAAATGCATGATGCCTGAATGCTTGCCTCACTGCAGCTTCCTCAGAGGAAATGCCGCCATTCTCAGGAATATTAAAAATCAGTTAGTCATTTTGTTAGCGGGCAAATACAAACAAAACATCCACAAGGATACATTCAGGTTAGTTGGAAGTGAAAGTACTTCAAAAAAAGATGGATATGCAGAGCTTTTGTCTTTCTGTATCATGTGATCGAATAACAGCTAGTGCTACATATATATATATATATTTTTACTGATTTCTGTTCCGTCTAAAAAGGGAGAAATGGTGCTTTTTTTAATGAAACTAGAATGATGAGTATCTACTCATATTTGACTTCTTAGTTTTAGTTGTAGCCTAATGACTTACCGTCCATAGCTATTTTCTTAGTAGTGATTCATTTTTGTACATAGACTATAAGTTGATATGTTTCTTCTAAATGTTAGATATATGTATAGATTACTCTATCTTATATGTTTGAAAACAAAAAGCACTTTGTCCAAAAAAGAAAGAAAAAATCAAACAAACTAAAGAAAAAGCATTTTTTTCTTCCATTTGCTGCTAAAAGGCCTGGTGTGAATGCTGCAAGTGTACTTGATAACTACTTGCTAGGATAGGTCTATTTCCTGACTTGGCTAGGTCTATAAACTGGCAGGGAATAGGTGTGCGGCCTGACGAGGGTTAGGTCTACATGTTTCTGGAGCCACGTAATGTTACGAGTGTTGAATAAACCTGTATCATTGCTTGGTTTTGGAAAGCTAGATCTATTTCCTGGTCAGGAACCGCGTGGATAGCGGGTTTGTGGTCTTAAAAAAAAAAGAGGGTTTTGATTCCAGGGCCCCTACTTTGATCCTGACGCTGACCCCCTTGGCGTCAGGATTCATTTGCCTTCAGTAGAGGTTTCCTATGGAAAAACTGATTCTGCTTTGGCTTCCTCTTCAGGGTGATGTACAGTGTAGACACATTTCTCCAGAGAGCTATATTGTTATCATTTGTAAACTGATTGCTACTTGTGACTTAATGAGGAGGAGGGTTTAGCCTGGGGCGGCCAGGAAGAGCCGTTTGAAAGGTGTTGTTCCGGGCCGCCTTAGGGGAAGTTACTATATCACTGTACTGTATGGCAAGCCAGTTACAAATGGAGACTCAATCCGGACACTTATTGCCTTTTTGAACTTTTACACACAAACAAATAATATAAATTGGCGAACTAGTCAGTTGCCAAAGGGTGAGCCCGAGGCTTATGACATTGTTCCGCCAATATACAGTCAACAACAACAACAACAACAACAACAATAACAAAACTGTTCAGCATAAATGGCTCAAAACAAACCTTGACTGAAGTATCAGACGTGGTGCAATATCTCGGAGAAATTGCTACAAATGTTGAATTAAAATTTGAACTAATTGTGCTCAGTCGAATCTTTTGGTACAATATTTGAAGCAATTTCTTTCAGCAACAATTTTGACCAGGTCTGGCCAGCGGTCAACAGTGGATACATTGCCGCTGGTTGGCTAGTTTTGTAGTCGCTCATGAGGCTGATCTAAGAAAGAGTTCTCACAGGTTTTTACATTTAACATGATAGGTGCAAGCTGTGCAACTTTACATTCGAACAAGGAGACTCTGTGGCATTTTAAAAAGTCAAGAAAACTAGTGAAAATCCACACCAGTAACTATTCCTTATTCTTTTTTTATTTCTGGTGACATAAAACCTATACAGTCAACTATTATGCTGATGGTGTATCTTTGTGCTACTTTTGTCCAATAAAAGCTTACCGTAAAGCTCTTCAGCAAATCAGGGTAATATTGTTCTTCTATCTGACGTATGTGATGACATAAAATCAAAAGAAAATATATTTATGTATTCCAATTATTGTCGCCATTCTTTACTCTGTACAAAAATATGTGTGTGTATGTGTTATGAATTATCAATGTCAATCAATATAGTGCAATCCTCTACACAAACTGAAAAAAAGGCCAACAGTCACAATATTCACAGTTTATCCGATTTATCCACATTGGAATTAAAACATACACGACCTACGACATTTTCCTCTCACAAAGGATTTGATTTCACATGGTGCTGATTACTTTTCATTATCCAGGTAATCCTCCAAGAATTTAAATAGCATCTGTATTTATATTCACTCAAAAACATAACAGACTCCCACCCCCCCCAATATTTTTCATTGATTCTATCCTATTGGACTAAACAGAGGAACATTTTCACTCTGAACGACAACAAATTGGTGATTTCTATTTTATTGAGCTGTATGATTGCTATTGTTAGGCAAACCATTGTTTCTTTTGTAAAAATCATTCTCATTGATTTGATACCACAGCCTAAAGTCACAGAGGATCTTTATATCATCTGAGAGGTACAAGATTTCCCCCAGGACTGCAAAATAAATGCATTTATTTGGGTGTATTATAGGCCGTTATTTTGTTGATTTAAATAGTACGTAGGATTTCCTCCTGTTATTAAAATACAGGTACTTATTCAAGTTGATAGTAAATTTGGCACTATTTTCTTGTTTTAAGCTGTACTTATGTATCCGTATGTAATAAAAAGGTATATAATGACTTGGTGTTTAATGAATAGATGTTCCCCTCTACTGAGTATTTTTAGCATCTTTCAGCTTGGTTCTTTGGCCCCTCAACTTCAACTCAACTAAGCACTTTTTTAGAAAATTACGGATCTAAAAGATGAGCGTTACCAAATATCCTTGTCTCACTAAATTGGGTTTGTGAACAATATTTTACAAATGGACCTCACCTCTTGCTGGCTGTGGTGTCAGATCTCAGAGTTTGGATTCTGTTTTCAGATGTTTCTTGTCTTGTTTTGACCCATGTGGGCTGCTTGTAAAAACACCTCGTCTTGAGAGGTTGTATGCATAATGCCCTCCATGTTTTTCTCTGTGTAAATTGGAAACATACAAAAATGTGACAAAAAAAACCGAGCGGGAATAATGTTTCTGCATGCCGACTCCCTGCAACGCACTTCTAGAAGATCCTTCACTGCACTCGAAGTCACATTTTGTCATAGTTGCTGCTATTTAATGAGCACAAAGAGCGTTATGTTTTTCGTTAAGTGTATCAATGATTCGATAACAGTAGACTATTAACACATACCCTGTTTTTTTTTCACACTTTTTTTTCGACAGTCAAAAGACCAAAAGTGTTACTCCCCTTGCACTTGGTTTTTGAATATGATGCCTGCTGAACCAGGTGCCTTAATCAAATCTTCGAGAACACACATCTGCACCTTCTGTCAGTCTGGAGGGGGTTTCCCCACAGAAACAAGGGGCTGGGTTTCCCATAACCTAAACTTGAAGTACAGAAATGAAATTAAAAACTAATTTCAACCCAAAATATTTAGTATGAGAAATCAGCCTTTAACAGTGAATGAGCTTTTTGTCATGTCTGAATATGATTTCCCTTTAGTATTACTGAAGAAGAGCATACATGTGAACTAAATTCATGTTTTGGGAAACCTGGTTCCAATTGTAACTTTCTCTGCCCACTACGCCACATTCTTGTGTTTTGTGTATTGGCTGCTGCTGCTATCACCGCTGGTGTGTCCGTTTAGAGAACAGTACGTTTCCACTGTGTCAAAGGCAGAGGGAGACTTGGGCCTGCTTTAATTAGTCGATTACAATGCATTCTTCTTCTGTGGTTTTGACATTGAGCACCGTGTTGCTGCCTCTTGAGATCTTTTTTGAGAAAAACGAAACAAAAAAAAAGCATAAAACAGACCTTTCCGTTTCTTAACTTTGCTATAATGAAGTGCCAGACCCTCCTTGAAGCCAGTGTTGGCACTTAGTGGCAGGGTGCAAATGAAGCGACAAACTGAGCATGGAGGTAAACTGTGGTGCTAATCTGTCAGTGGCTGGGTGCTAACATGGCTGATGTAAAAAGCTGTTTTAGCCATATTATTCCTACTGTCGATGACTCTTGTCAGTCTTGTGTTTCTGACTGCTGTATGCTGACATAGCGAGGTATAACTTTGCTGCTGCTGCTTTGCGGATGAATGTAGACTAGTCTTCCTTAGCAGGATCATACGGACAGACGTGTCTGGTGGAGCTTTTCCTGTTGTGCTACTTCCTTACACTTTTGTTTTGAACACAGGGAGACTCCTGTTGTCCGGATCCAGAAGGATCATGAATGTTGTATCTTTATATGGCCGCTGTCCTGCTTAAATGTTTATACCTATTTCTTTTTATATTAATATTTTGGTTTGATATTTATGCGCTGACTTTGTCAAATGTTGCACGATTGAAATTTGATTTTTCCTAAATTATATCTTATTGCCTTTTTTCCCTTATTCCAGTGTTCTTACAATTTATTTGATATTTATTTGTTTCGTCCTATAAATTAACATGTAAGGAGACATTTGTAAGACTTATTAGCTTTTCCACTGAAGCAGGCTTTACCAGGAGTCACATGAGGTTCACAGGTGTCAATCAAAGTCACAATGAAACTGACTTTTCTATTATTCCCTGTATACCTATAAACCAACATATTTTTTAGATTGTTCATATATTTAAAAAATGTATCTTATTACATTTACACATTATATCAGTTATATTATCTCATGTACCATAGATACGATTTTGTAAAATGTGCAACTTTTGTAAGATATGCAAACATTAAGGACGATCTATATTTAGTGCTTAATTAGACAGTAAAGACTCAATAAATAGATCAGTATGCAAAACAGAAGGAAATATTATGAAGAAATATCAGATAATCAGTTTGAAAATGAATTTACAAATATTTAAATAAAGCAACAGATATATTAGGATAGATGGATAAATACCTAAAAAAGGACTATATTTGCAAATCAACTTTAACAAAAGTCCTGTTGTCTCTGTGTTGCACACAAACAGAACGATGATTGTGTTGCAATCAGAGTCTGGGATTCATTTGCTGAAAGTAACAACAAAATGACAGATTTGCCCGTAAAAACATTATTATTACATAGAAATATAACACATAGTGGCTTCAGTCATTTGCCGTCCTGTGTTTAATTGTATATGACTTTAACATTATGTTCTGTCCTAATGCTAAAGTAACAAGGTGCAGTTTCATTGTGACTTTGAGCAGTGGTCTGTGAAGCCCATGAAGCGTTCTGTCATCGAAGGTTTGAGGCAGTCAGTCAGCGCCTGGAAACAGACTCAAGGACTCAGCTCTTCTTTGGTCACGACTCTGAACCGAGGTGCTCCACAGGTCAGGAGTCGCCCCTCTCTAACTGTGAGGGGGAAATTTGAATATTCGATCAGTTTTCTGGGAAAACTTTACCACTGCGCCAGAGATGTTTTGTCCCCTTCTGGGTGCTTAATTTTTTTCAGAAGGGCTTTGGTTCGCAGTTGTCTTGTCAGGGAGCTTCTGAAATAAGATGGGGGGGCCGCTAAAGGCTGGTGGGCAGAGACCCCTCCACCTCCCCTGCAATGAATGCTGGGGGGGGGGGGGCGGGAGTCATTTCCTCTTCTGCAGACTGATCTTTTCGAAAGCGAAAACAACAACCCACCCTAAATGAAAATAAAAAAACAAAACCCCTTTCCATATCTACACGCGTCATTATCCAACACTAAAGTGATTTACATCTCCTTCCAGATTTGCCAAAATGCATGGAGCGAGACACATTTAATGAGCAGAAAATGTTAAAGTATATATTCTGTTTCCTTTCTTTTCTATTTTGATAATAAAGACAGACAGAAAGATGATTTTATGGGAAATCCATACAAGCCTAAACATGTAGAGGATGTGGGAGGTATTGGTCATCATGAGCTCTACAGCTACATGCTATTGTTATGATGCTTCTGGTCTTGTATGGTAACTTATATGACTAGATCAACAGCATGGGATCTTTCTGTAGTTAGTCCTGTGTGTGTGTTCCTCTCCCCAGTCTCAGTAGGAGGGCTGTTCTTCATTGCTAAGTGCTCTATAATAGATCTCTTGGTGATTATAATTTCATAAAGAAGCAACTTACAGAAAGTGTATCCTGCTGAAACTAACTTGATCCTCTCTTTAGCAATGACGTCTATATTTGTAGTTCACATATATGCCTGTTCAAATACAATATCTTGACAGTTGATATATTTATGTTGTGTAATAAGTGTTGTGCTGGGTTTAACTTTTGTTATATCTAAGTCTTTGTTTTACATTGTCTTTCTTTCTTGGAGGCACAGTGGGTGGGCTTTATGCACAGTCTTGGAAATGTAAAAGATGTTTTTGTTTTATTTGGTTTGTACTGTCTGTAACAACTCATTCTGTTTCAGAGCTTCGGACAATAATTGTCTCTGGCTGCTTGACATCCTGCGGCACCTGCCCTGAATCTCTGTTGTGTTATTGTGCCTCTTTCTTATTTTTTTCAAACATTCTTTCTCTGTTGTATCAGCCAGGAGTTGATACCACAGCTCTGCTTGTAACCACAATAGTCTGATTATGTTCATTGATTTTAATATCAAAATAATAAAACCATTAGCAACCCATCCTGACTCTTCTTCTTAATTTGTTGATGTTTATATAGATATATAGATAGATAGATTAGTACTGTATTGATCACAAATTGGGATTTGTTTGCGTTGCAGCAGCATGAAAAGACAAGGCAATGAACACAAGAGAAATTAAAACACTAGACATAAGCAATCCAAAATATTTCTGAAAAAAAAAAATAGAATTAAAAAGTAAACGAATATACATGTGGAAATACAAATGTACAGTAAAAAAATATAAAGCAGGATATTATATATACATTAATTGGGCAAGGAATGGATTATTAAATATGAAATTGAATAAAAATGTACAGTGGGCGTTTAAGTCCAGTTAACACGAGAAGCTATGGAGCTATGTTTACATGGGGTTGTAAACAACTGAATATAATCACTGATTCATACAAAAATGTTTTCATACATTTTAATTTCACACCATTTAAAAATAAAATAAAATCATTGTTTAGAATTTAGTCCATTATATTATGTAGCCTATACATATTTATTGAGCAAAACATTTGATTAATTATTTTGTTATATATTAATATAATATATATTTTAGTAACCTTATCGTAAGACACCCACATCACCATAGCATTTATGTGACAGAAAAATACGTTTTTTAATGGTTTGTGTGTGACCGTCAGATTTATCGCTTCGCATTCAGCAGAACGTTTTGTCTTTTGAGCCTACTGCTTGCCGTACAACAACAAATATGGCGTCTTCTGCAGATGTCCACGTCCGAATTTGTGGACAAGAAATTATCAAATATGACCTGGAAATTAAGGCACTTGTTCAGGTAAAATGGTACTTTTATGAAACATTGTTATGCTCAGGTTGGTTTTCAATTTTGTTCTGGAGAGATTTTTATGGAGGCGTCACAACAACACAGTGAAGCTCACGTTAGCTAACCATAGACTGTATATATAAAGCTCACGGATAACACGATGACGAAGGTTAAAATAGACAGAAAGAAAGAGTGAGAGAGAGTTTTATTAAATATGTTTCCTTCAACTGATTCAAGTCGAGGTTTATTTACCTGAATAAAGTTATCAGTCGTTCGTGTTCTGTTACTGTGTAGTTGAGCTAAGAAATATCTTTATACACTTAGTATAATCATGAATACACATGTGTGTGTGTGTGTGTGTGTGTGTGTGTGTTGTTGTGTGTTGTGTGTTGTGTTGTGTGTTGTGTGTTGTGTGTCCTGCAGGACATCAGGGATTGCCCTGGACCTCAGTCAACTCTCATGGAGTTCAACTCTCAGGTCAAAGAGAAGTTCAACAAACTGAGACTCAGAATACAGGTCAGGCCTCACATCAGGTGTCAGAAAAAGATCATAGTACAGTATGTTACAATGCATTCAAAACTATTCATCATGTAGTATGTCATAAATAATCATAACCAACTCTTAGTATAGCATGTACCACACATATATATCCCTCCCCCTACTCACTCACTTGTTATTTTTCAATCTATCGTATGACTGTGCTGTGTTGTTGTCAGGATCTGGAGCAGATGGCCAGAGAGCAGGACAGAGAGACGGACAGACTGGCCATCCTGTCAGAGACAGAGAGCCAGCGGAGACAAATGCTGAGGTGTGAACAAATCAATCAATCAAAATCAAAAGCCAGCATTCAGTATCAATCATTAGAATGCATTTATTGTCTTAAAGATTAATTTGCAGATTATTCTAGACGAGTGGATTTTGTTGTAAATATCAAAAGATTGTGAAGGATTATGTGTTTGAATTCTAAATCCAAAACCAAAAGATATTCAGGTTCATAACCACAATATCACAAAACATATTTTTTGTTGCCATTTCTTGAACAAAAAGTTACTTTGATGCAATTATCAAAATGAATTGGCGATTATTTTTCTGTGGGCTGATATTCGATTACCAAACTAATAGTTTCAGCTCAACTTTACAAAGTGCAACAGGTTAGGTTGTGTCTCTGTGTCCTGAAGTTAGTAATTAAAAGGGATGTACTAGTTTTAATTTTGTAGAAAGGTAGCCTCTAATTTATAATATTAATTATGCTTTTAGGACATAATTCACCTTGTAGTTGTTGACCCTTGAGCAGAATGTGCAGTAGATATCTGAAGCCAAAGGGACTCCCAGATGAAGAAACTAATATTGGGATTAAGCAACAGATTCAGAAACAACAGGCCAGATGAGATGTAAACTGAGATATTTCTTTGGATTTCAGTAACCAGACAGCATGGAGGAAAGCAAACCTGGCCTGTAAACTCTGCATCGACCACAGTGAGAAGGACGAGCTGCTGCAAGGAGGAGACTACCAGAGCACCAGACAGAGGTTTGTACAATGAGTCAGCCCTATACCATCATACATATGGTAAGGAGGATGCAGAAAAACTCCAGTCAGATCTCAGAGAAATGCAAAGATGGTCCGAGTGTTGGCAGCTCAAATTCAATGCAGCAAAGTAATGCACTTAGGTCTTCTGAACCCAAAATATGAGTATCATATGTGTGATAAATCAAACAATATAAACCTATCTGAGACTCAGAATGAAAAGGACCTTGGTGTGAATGTTGATAATACCCTGACATTTAGTGACCATATCCATCGGGCAGCTAACAAAGCTAATGGTATCCTAGCAATAATCCGCAGATCATACACTTATTTGGACTCTGATGTAGTACGTAGTTTATACATCTCTCTTGCACGGCCACTCCTCGAGTATGGGAATGTTGCCTGGTCCCCCATGTACAAAAAGGATGCTGAGCTCATTGACAAAATACAGAGAAGGGCAACGAAGCTGGTTCCAGAACTAAAGGACCTACCATATCAAGAACGACTGCGAAGTCTTAAGATCCCGAGCATGTATTATAGAAGGGCGAGGGGAGATATGATCGTAGTTTTCAAATATCTCCACAACATCTACAAAACATCATGCCCACTACAACGGGATTATAACACCAGGACTCGTGGACACTGCCTCAAGTTGAAGAAACAGTACTCAAGACTGACTATCTGCCACAACCTTTTCAGCCTGCGTGTGGTTGACTTGTGGAATGATCTGCCAGAAAGCGTTGTCACATCCAAGACTGTTAACTGTCTCAAGTCCCGCCTCTACTATTACTGGTCAAACATCACCTTCCCTTTGGACTATGTGACTGTTGCCAGCATCCATAGTATGTAAAGAACAGTGGTCTACTTATTTATGAGCGACTAAAAGGCCCTAGGCCTACTACAGCCGTATCCTATTGATTGATTGATTGATTAATACGTGTATTAATCAGGTCAAGCTAAATCACCATCCCCCATCCCAATTGTAGTTAGACCTCTGTTAACTTACTACTTTTCTGGCAAACTCTGGTCTTCTCGTAATATGAATCCAGTCTGGAGAGACTTTTTGCAAATTTAAAAGTGTGTCTCTACGATTTGAAACAGACTGTGACGACACACTGGTCTAGAAACGTTTTTTTTTTCTTCCTGTAAAAGTGACACTACTTGATGAAATTGAAATGTACAGACATTTAAGTAGGTTGCAACTGTATTACATTCATTGAATTATCAGCTCAACTATTACTATTCATAATTTGAACATTCAAAATAATACATAGCCCAGTAATAAAGGTTGTCCAGAAGCATGTTGTTGTTTGTAACATAATAATCTCCTGTTATTTGCCAATGATTAAAATGCAGTCCGGTTGCAGCAGCTGTCATTAAGGAGGAGGGGACAGATTTGATTATCCATCTATTTTCCCTGATATAATAATCCTGTTCAAATGGGGCTTTTGACAGTGATTTGTTTCCAGTCATTTGTGATGGGTCATTATGTTTACCACTCAAATGTTTATATAATGATACTTAAATAATCTCTGCTGGTAGAAACAGGATGCTCTTTCAAGAGACACATGTTTTGAGAAACACACATTTCTGTGACTTTAACTAGCTACACACAATACACTTTATACACAACATATTAGTGACAGCAACCAGTCACCAGCAGTGGTCTGCTCTGTGTTTTTGTTTCAGGAAGGTGACAAAAGAATGCCTTGTGGAAACCAGCAGCAACATCACAGAGAGTTTGATGTCGATCAGCAGGATGATGTCTGAACAGGTGAAGCAGAGCGAGGACACCATCGGCACTCTGGGTAAAAAAAACAACTATACTTTGAACATGTCTTTGTTAAATTTGGTCATTTATATTTTGTTTACATACAGTATATCCAGTTTACAACAATGATTTTAAATGTGAAAAACTTAGTGTAGCCAACAATCTTCTTCAGTATTTAATACCTCTTCCTCCTCCTCCTCCTCCTCCTCACACAGCCACCTCCTCCAGGACAGTGCTGGAAACCAACGAGGAGTTTAAAAGCATGACAGGAACCATCCACTTCGGGAGGAAACTGATCCTGAAGTACAACCGGCGTGAGCTGACAGACAAGCTGCTCATCTTCCTGGCTCTCGCCCTCTTCTTCGCCACCGTCCTCTACATCCTTAAGAAGCGTCTCTTTCCCTTCATTTAGCTGTTAATACACACACTTCAGGAAGAATGTTTTCCAGTTACCAAAATGGCTCTTAGCCGTTTTGAAGTAAAAACTCGAGTACATAGTTGGATCAGCATTGAGACTGAACTTCTGCACGAAGAAACAGAGTCGAGTGGCCCTTGTTTTTATCTTGATCAATATGCAAAATGTTTCTTTATAAAATGGGAATGAAGGAAAAAGTGTTAACTGGCATTCTGAGGTTTTGTGCAACAGTGATAAGCTTACAGCCTGCTTCAAACAAACTTGGGCTGTTCCAAACATCACTGAAGGCTTTTTATATACTTGTTGCACTCTAAAGGATTCTATGGCTATTGAGTAATCATGTAGTCTCAATTTGATAATTAATAATATATTGATGTACAATTTCATACGGTCTATCCTTCTACCCTTAAGACGTTCAAAAGGCTGCATTATGAGTGAAAGCAATGAGGAAAGCTTTGAGAATGTGACTATTCTACCCACTTTTACTCCTGATCACCGGTGACTGTTTTAGAAACATCATTTTTAATTTGTAGTTCGAAATTCAGAACTAACCAGGGACTAAGCCATAACCTTCACTTTGTTGCCATCAGTCAATTTAAGGTGTGTGTGTGTGTGTGTGTGTGTGTGTGTGTGTGTGTGTGTGTGTGTGTGTGTGTGTGTGTGTGTGTGTGTGTGTGTGTGTGTGTGTGTGTGTGTGTGTGTGTGTGTGTGTGTGTGTGTGTGTGTGTGTGTGTGTGTGTGTGTGTGTGTGTGTGTGTGTGTGTGTGTGTGTGTGTGTGTGTGTGTGTGTGTGTGTGTGTGTGTGTGTGTGTGTGTGTGTGTGTGTGTGTGTGTGTGTGTGTGTGTGTGTGTGTGTGTGTGTGTGTGACCTAGAAAGTGTTGTCTGCTCTGGAAGGCTTTTTCAAAGATGCCATTGTTACAGTTATTGACGAGTTTAGCCTGTGCCTTTCTTCTTTAGGACGTCCAGACAACTGACTCAGAAATGCGGGTACTTACTCATCCTCTAAAGTTCATTTGTCACGTTGAGTTGGAGAGTGCATGTCAGGGATGTCTTACTGTTCGTCTGTGTGACTATTTTACAGAGCAGGGCTGAATTAACACACTTCTCTTTGTCCAGTAACATCATTGTAGTTTATTTAATTTCAATCAAAATGCTTACAAATGTATTTTTGGAATCATTTAAATAAAAACTTACAAAACATAGCTTGAAACCTGGGGTCTGTATGAAATGTGATTCATCAAAAACACATATTTAAAACACGTCATACCCGAAGAGCACCTTCCTGCAGACGGCACCCGGACTGTCCACACAACAAAGTCAACAATACGGTGCATAATATAACAATCCTCATAAATACAAAAACAGACTTAAATAGGTAGAATACTGACTTTCAGCTGCACTTGAGCGATTCCCTGTAGTGTTTACTCGTGTGTGTGTGTGTGTGTGTGTGTGTGTCCATGCCCCTTGCTGAAGGATACAGCCACTGTGGTTAACTGTCGAGGTGAGGTAGATAACTGGTTTTCATTCTTGTACAAAGTCAAATGTCAAGGAAAATAGTCATATATATATAGCACAAATACCCAACAGATTAAATAAGATATGTTGCATTGCTTTTACCAGCAATACAACACAAAACTACTACCACTACTGACACTCATTCTGCTAATATAATAGTAATAAGTGCATCATCTTTGTGAACCCTTTCTGCACCACCAGTCTGTTTATGAAGCGGTCACATTGGATTTCCCAGGCACAGGTGAACCAGATTGGGTCGTGTTGTGGACCTGACTGAGTGTGTTTCTGTCCTCGGTGGGTCTGGAGGGCTGCAGCAGGGGTCCTTCAGCTGTGGTAGGCCATGCCGGGGTTGGTGGTGGTGTGGTGGTGGTAACCTCCAGGTCGTCCGATTGGCTGAGAGAGCATGTACTTGCAAAGCTGCTGCACAGCCCCCCCCAGTGCTGCTCACACTGTCCGCGCAGCTGCTGGCCGACCCACAGCCTGACGTCTTCCCCGCACTTCAACAGGAAGTTCATCAGCTCCACATACGGTCTGATGAGACACGAGAGACAAATGTTTGCGTTTATCCAACTTTTCAACACAGACTTTCAGAAGAACACTACCTAAAGCTAGACTCTTTCACAGTAGCTATGACTTATCATGAAAGGGAAAACACAGGCTATGGCAGTGAGCCGGCATGTACAATACCGGACTCTGAAACTCAAAAAATCACCTTTTTTAAATATTTACCACTGTGCTTTTCATACTGTGAGAGGGAAAAAAAGTCTGGGCCAACAAGCGAGAAACAACTAACATGAAAAAAGTCCTAGTATAGCATGTCATAAAATATATATTTAAAAATAATTCCTCGTAATGTATATGGAAAAAATAATACTATTAGTCAAAGTATAGTTTCAAAAAGAAAGAATCATGATGTATATATAAAAAGTATTTCCTAATTTATTCATTTTAGATCAAAGTATAGTATGTGATAAAAAAATATTTTAAAGTCGTAGTATATAAAAAGTATGAAAGAGTATGTAAGTATGAAAGGCATAGTATAGTATGTTTTAAAAACATCATATAGTATGTCAATGAGTATTGTAGCAGATGATGTCATTAAAACTGCATTAAGCAATCATAGCATAACAAGTATGATATAAAGAAGTTACAAAAAATACAGTTTGCTATGTATAGAAGGTCTTACAAAATGTAATTGATGTTAAATTATAGTATGTGTTAAAAAATATCATTCCAAAGTCATTGTATATAAAGTAAATCGTAAGAAAGATCAATCGAAAAGACAGTATACATTTCAAAACAATTTCAGTTTGTAAAATAAGTGTTTTACTTTTGTGATAAAATGACTGAAATGTACCCTAAAATGTAGTGTAACAGTTACTCTTAAGACTTTTTTCCTTTGGATGATGATAAAAGTCAAGAGATTATTTTCAGTGTGTGTGTGTGTCTCACCCCGGGGGGAACATGAGGTGGAACTGCACCAGGCTGCCCATGGTGTCCATGTGGTCTCTCAGCGCCAGGCAGAGCTGGTGTTTGGAGTAGCATTCCCTCTGCAGCGAGAACACCATCTCCCTCACCGCGGAGCACCGGCGACTCACACAGCTGAAGCGCTGCCGCAGGCCCAGAGCCATGCAGCGCAACGCATCCTTCACAAAGGACTTACCCTGGGAGGAGGAGGAGGAGGAGGAGGAGGAGGAGGAGGAGGAGGAATCAGTTTCAATGCAGCAAGGCATTGCACTTACAACTACAATAAGCATGTGTAGATGCTTATTGTAGTTGTAAGTGCAATAAGCATGTATAGATGGCCCATTCAATGAAATGATTTAACATATAAATCCTGTTCCAGTGTGCTTTTTATTCTTTTCATCTTTAAAAGTCAGTAGGATGCAGGAAAATGTCTCAACCCGCCCCCCTGGGATTGGTCATTTGAAATGCTCCCTATTTCTGAGGTCTCAAGGTTGGCAAGTATGGTTCTTTGTATTTTTGGTGTCATGGTGGCTCCCACTAAATTTGCATTAATTTAATGGAAGACCTTATTTCAATGCAGCCAATCAAATTTGGCAAAAAGCAGTAACGTCACTGCTTTACAGCACAAGAGCCACAGAGATTGAACAACAACCAACATTGGCTTTCCTGCTAAAGTGTTCTCGCTTATTTACACATCCAACAGTCCCACAGGAAACGTATCATTGTTTTGAAGTCAAGTTTCTGGCCACCTACTGAGCCTATAATATTCTCTCCTATTGAGCTTTGTGAATAGTCTTTACCAGCTCCTGAGGACAATATCTGTCTCTTTAGCTGCTGACTGCTCCACTATAGTCACCAGCTAGATATTAGCTTTGTCTGTCTCAAGTTTGCTGTTGAGCAAGTAGTGTTTATTGGAATGTTTGTACAGCCTTTGAGTTAAAACAGCTGTCTTCTGCAGCTTAAAAATATACTGATAGAGTGGTGTGAGTAAACCCTAACCCTAATAAAGTGAAGTTGCGGGTCGAACAGCTCAATCATGAGCTGAAATTTACCATGAATATACGTCAAAGTGAGGGGTGAGGCAGATTCTCTTTAGATGTATTCCTACGAGGGACTTCTTTTGTAATGTAATTTGTTTTTTTTTATTGTAAAAATACTGATTATAGCTATGTCCACAAAGGCACACATTCACCATGATATTAGCATTTAAATATATTCTGCTATTGTTTGTTACTGTATTTAACATCCAGTTAAAGGTGGGGTAGGTAAGTTTGAGAAACCGGCTCGAGATACACTTTTTGTTATATTCCATGGAATGCTCTTAAAGGTGGGGTAGGTAATTTTGGAGAAACCAGCTCGAGTGCGCTAGAATTTGAAAGTACGCAGCCGAAAAAAATCTGCCTCTTCCTTCAGACTTCCTTACAGAGCCCCTCCTCCAACACACACAAACGCGCACATGACCAATGAGGGCACGAGATAAGTTTGTGCACGAGATGGAAGGTAGGCCATCCAGTTATTTTAGCCGGGCCGGCTAAAATGATTGGTCGTGCTTTTTACAGCGCTACGGCTTCCACAAATGAATTTTTTTTATGTGTATTTTCAAATTCTAGCGCACTCGAGCTGGTTTCTCCAAAATTACCTACCCCGCCTTTAACTCGATGCTGACAGATCCTTGGTGAACATCATCCACTCTGCGATCATGCTGGAGACACATGAAGACTTACATAATTCCCTCATGTACTTCTATTCTAGTAAAGTAGACACACTGTTCCCTCTCTCATTTCACTTCCCCTCTCAGTTTGTTCTGTATCCAGTGCCACCATGCATAACTATACATACACCTTATATAGCAAACATTCTTCACAAATGACTGTAATGACTGATGGGATTAAATTAAATAAAAACATGTATCCCAATATGTCTCATCTAATCTCGCTTTAAGATGCTGTTGGACCCAGTTTCAGACTATGTAATCTAGTTCAGATGGGGTCAAACGGTAAACAATTACTCCCAATAAGTGTGTGTTGAGGTGTCTGTGTGTCCTCCTCCCACCTGTGAGTCGTAGCGCCCGGCGTTGTGCAGCAGAGTGAGACAGATTTGGTGCAGACCTTGGATTTCACAGGAGTTGTTGTTGAAACACTGAAAATTCCCACAGCCAACATCCCCTGAACTCAGCAGACAACTCTGAATTTCCGCTGAGAGAGAAAAAGAGAGTTGTGTGAACATACAGTGATACCACAGAAATAAGTGAGTCTTCAAAATCACATTTGCTACTGTGTCTCTTATATGTAACTGTGATGTTATATCTCTCACAGGCTCCGCCCTCTACTGGACTCTATGGGTACTCCCCTCGATCCTATCATGCAAGCATTCATCCACTGAGACATTCTAGACGTAGCCGGCCCCTGGGCGGGCCTACTTGAATGCGCGCGCATCTCACCGTATAAAAGGAGGCCTCGCCTCCTTACTGTCATCCCTTTCTCTTCAGCAAGGCAGTGAGATACAACTGAGTGAAGAGAGACGGATAAAAATATAAGACAACGAAGAAAATGGACTCACCATTGGAGCGCCCCTGTCCTTCGTGTCCGGGCTCCATAGAGGGCGACGACCCCCACTGTCGGTGCATCGAGTGCCTGGGGTCCGACCACGCGGCGGCCAACCTGGGCCCGCTTGCAG